ATGCTCGGATAATCTTTATTAATAAAGTACGTTTCTTTACAAAGTCCAATGCACAGTTAATTTCACCACCGGAATAGACACAGTCCTTCAAAAATTAACCGGCGGTTGAACATAATCGTCGCAAATACACGCTATATACACGAAAAATCGAAAAATGTAATTTGTTTCTTGCGCCATCTTTAGCATTTTGCGACCATCATAAGGGTCTTGCTAGCAAGTATTCAAGACTCAAACATTTTTGCCTGTCCCAGCACACTAATGAGAGCGGCGCAGATAAGTGAAAATGATGCAGTGGGCCGTGAGACTCGGTTTTGGCGGGAAAAGAAATTATTGGTGTCACCAGTTCCAATAACTTTGCATTGGCGTTTCGGTAATTCTCCTAAAATTTATTTTTAAAAAATAGCTAAGCCGTAAGTTTCCGCCTTGCCGAAATTTTTCGCTCTTGGGACCAGGCAGAATCGATAGTAGACAACCCTATGACTCAGCCGCCCCAAACTGCTTCTCTGGCTCTCCCGCATTTTTTCGTCGCTGACCAATTGTCCTTTTCGAAACCGTTTCAGCCTGCTTCTTACTGTAGATAAATTTATTCTATTGTCAAATCCTGGATTCATTTATCGATACTTTCTTGCAATAAAAATTATGCAAAAAATTCCAGGCCCTGACACGCCTTCATGGATTTCACAAATTTGCCTATCAACTTCCACCGACGTCTGCTGGATTTTGTCGGCAGTGCCGACCCAAAGACGCGATTCCGGTTCGCCAGAACATGCCGATTTTTGTGGAAGATGACCGAGGCTTCTTCAGATAATCGATACAGATACAAGAGAGTTGAGTTTGAACAAAATAAGACCGACATTTTCGAGCCGGACAATGACAAAAATTGGGTACACTTCAATACAAAGCGTACCAGAAACCTATTGCTTTCCGGCACCACCGTCAACGACCTCATAATTCGGGAGCTTGAAGTCGATGAAATTCCGAACGGATTGAAAACTTACGTGTTGGCTGTTCATCGTCCATATGAAGATGAGGACAAAATAAAGCTACTCGAGAAGCTGAAGCCGAAGACCCAGAAATTTCAACATGTCTGGTTTTGCTGGAGTCGCCAAATCACGCTGGATCTAATTCACTACGCAAACGAGAACATACGCTCGCTAGTACTGTCGAACTTTTTCGATCCAATACTGGCGCTCGAGTTGAAGTGCCCCATATTTGTCGTGACGGTCAACTGGGATCAAAATGAAAAAAATACAACCCTTTATCGATGCTCTAGTCGCCCAGTGGAAGAGTGGAGCACGAGATTTTGAAGAGATACGGATAGAAGGGAATACTGGTCATGCACGACTCGAGGAGCACGTCCGGAAAGATGGGCAGCGAATTCACATCGTTTATCAGACTAGAACTATGGCCCGGGGTGCGTACGTGATTCAGAAAATTACCGGTTTTTTTTACGCCGAATAAACTTGTTCAAGATGTGCAGTAAAGAGCCTCATATTATAGAGCCTGCTCAATTTCCAAGGTCTTCAAAATCCAGAAAAAAATACATATGTACTTCCGAAAAATAACAGAATTTTGGATTTTAATTTTTTGGGACAGACTAAACTTATTTACAAAACCAGCCGCAAGCAAGCGGCTCGACTTCGGGCTGCCCCCCCCCCCGCCGTGCGCTCCTCACCCCTCGCCGAAAGCGCGGGACCTGGCTCCCTATGAGAAAATCGTGCAATAGCCGTTTTTACGACCAAATTACAAATACAGATTTTTAAATATGAAAATGAAGTTTTTAGATTCTGTTCATGATCAGTTTGGGGGTTTCTGGCCGCGTGTATCCGGATCCAAAGAGACCTAAGCTCTAGCTAATTTCGAGTCGTGAAGCTAGCATTTTACTATCGGAAAATCAGAAGAAAAAAGAAAAACCGTCTGGCGAAAGCCAAAATATCGGAATTTCCCCCCTGCCTTCAGCATTGCAAAGCGGTTTTTCCTTTCCTTAAAAACGCCAAGCTTATCTATGCGCTGTTCGTATTTCCTTATGCTACCCGGTTTATCGATTTCCGGCCGGGTGCGTCATCCCTATCTTTTTCGCAACTGTTTTTTGAGCTTGCAGGCTTATCCCTCTGCTATAAACCAATTATCTATATTCGATGGAATTTATCGACTTACCTATCACCTTCCATCGACGGCTTATCGATTTTCTGGGAAATTCCGGCGCGAGGACGCGATTCCGGTACGCGCGTTGTTGCCGATTTCTATGGAAAATTACCGAGGAATCGCCATACGACCGCTTGGAGCATGGAGTCATATTTCTAGCCGATTACATCGGTATGGGGTCATTTGGATCGACATGCTTCTACCTAGACGATCCAACCACCCAAAAACTACTACTATCCGGAGCTACCGCTACAAAAACCGAGTTATACCAGCTGCCAATGACCGGCATCCCACCTGGATTTCGTACCTTACAACTATCAATATCAGCTCACGCAATGAAAGATCCTGACGTTTATTTGGATCTCATCACAGCTATGAAGCCTCTGCATCAAAAATACCTCCATGTAGACCTTTTGGGAGTGTCTGAGCCGACGCCAAAATTCTTCCAAATCGCCAACACTTGCACCGAATCGATTGCCCTGTTCTGTGACGTCCCCGTCGAACCGTGGATCCGGGTGAAGTGCCCGAAAATCCTGCTCAGAGTCCGACCGGGGTCTCGTATATGCCTTCAAAGTTTCATCGACAGCATAGTGACCGAATGGAAATCTGGCGAGCGGGAAATCGACTATGTCGCGATTCAACGGGGACCCGGCAAAATTCGAAGCGCCAAGGCTTGTCCGTATAGATGGCGCACAGATTTTTGTTGAGTATCGCAATTACCAAAATGTACTGAGAAAATATCCCGCATAAATGTATCGATTAACCACCATACGATACAAATATACATTTGGAAACATGAGGCTTGCGATATCGTTAGCCAACAGATTAGGATTATCAAAGTTCGAAATCGAAACTGAGCTTTTTTCGAAATAGAAAAATCTTAACAAACGAGAACTATTAATTATATTTAGCTTTCAAACAACGCATATTAACATATCACATTAACCCGAAAACAAATTCCAGTTAAACAGAATCGAATTTCCGCTCCGTTAGTATTTGGCAAAACCAATTTTTTGTCGGCGTAGACGTTTTAATGAATCGCAAGCATTTTTATATCGTTTCTAGCTATTCCCAAACCTAAAAACCCTACTAGGTTTTTAAAAATTTAATTGTAGGTCGAAACAAGGATTTTTCAGGAGAAAATCACGAAATTGTCAAATTTTAAAAACACTTTCCAAATTTTTGAAAGTTTATCTGCCCTTACTATAGTCAAACTTACTAAATACCATATAGCTACACTTTCAATTCGCTTACTACGCCAACCTTGAACCGCCAGGAGAAATTGATCTATTTACTGCGTCGGCATTTCCAGCCTTGCAAAGGATTTTATTCGAAACGTCTGGTTATATCAATCACAAAGAACATCGTGTATTGAATGAGTTTTACAGGTCTGGAGTACGAGCTTTGTTTGAACGTCGTGCTCGGCTCGGGGTAGAGATCAGGCGATTTGTTCATTCGTGGTGGTTGTGGTCGTCTGCGCGGTAGGAGTGGCTGGATTGGTGGGCGCGTTCGGCGTCGGGTTGGCCGGCGGAGTTGGGGGCGGATCCCGATCGGGGAAGTTCCCTGAAAAACAGATTGAGTCTCAGCTTTAGCTTTCTTAGGGCAACAACTTTTTAGCAACGAAAATCGCGATCCCCCGTTAACTCACCAACACCGGGTATCAAAAAAAAGAAAACAAACGTTTCTTCTGTTCGAAGTAGATGCACAATTTCCCGCCGCCAATAATCGCGACCGCGCCGGCGACGCTCAAGAAGATCAGCACGTATTGGTAGAACTCGCGGCTGTAAAGGACGTAGGGTATAAAACGTCAAATTCTGGCTAGCCGTATAAAGCATAAACCGAAAGGTATAGGCAAAAAAGAAACATTAGTCCCGCTAACGATCAAGTACCCGAAGACCCCGAAAGATCGCCGATTACGACCAAAAACTGCGCAAAAAAAATTTTCACGGTTTTTCGTGATTTTTTTGCATTCAAAACATAGCTTAATTATTAAAAGGTTAATTACGTTTACATTGCCTTTCGAAAAAAGTTTTCCCCTCGATAATGCAAATGAAAACCGGGTAAGAGAAAACCCCTCCCCAGCCGAACCCCAAATTTTGCATCTCGGCTCCCTGTTCATCTACAGGTAGATAAAGTATACCAAAATGTGCGCCTTGTTCTGGCGAGTATTTTTGTATACTTTACACACCCGTAGATGAACAGGGAGCCGAGAAACAAAAGGGGTCGGCTCAGGGGGGGGTATCTGGAGTTCAGTCGAACACCGTTTTTGTACTCACTCGGCATGCTCGAGCTGCAACTGTCGCTTCAGGATATCATCGGCGTCTTCCGTCGGTTCCGGCTCGGGGGTGGTTGTAGTTGTTGTGGTGGTTGTGGTCGTCGTGGTAGTCGTCGTGGCTGTGGTGGTTGTGGTGGTTGTCGTTGTCGTTATAGGCAGCCAGGAAGGCTGAAAATGATGAGCCGGATGCTTATCCTGTCAAAAATCTCCCTGTCCCTGTCCCCCCGATAATGCAAAAGCACCAAACATGCCCTTGACGGTGGTTTGAAATTAGAAGTATCGCCGGCTCCTGTGGTTCCGAACTTTTTTGTTAAGTCTAAGAATGCTTAGTAATTTAATAAAAAATATTTAAATCGTTTTTCGTGCTACATAAGCTTATTTCAACTAGAAAACCCTCTAAAAATTGAAAAAGTATAAATTTTGGTCAAAAATTGGCCATTTTTAGTCGAAAAATCGATGTTGTTGCTACTCTTTAATAAAATCTTGTAAGGTTTGCACGTTTAGGAATAGTAAAAAATCAATTAGAAACACTTTCACTATCCTTATTCGAAAATTTGGACCTTAAAGCCTTTTGGGAGGGGCCATAACAATTCAGCCCATATCAAGCGGTTTTTTGCGAATCCCTGTAAACCCACATCATATACAAAATTGGCAGGTCGGGTCGCAGTCCTCGTGAATCCAACATATTCACCATTCCATCCCTAAAACCAATTTGTTAGCGAATGACGGTGTTTGGTAGTTACAATATCCTTGACGTATTCATCTGCCAGTGCGATTAGGCCCTTCCCGGCCGGCATGATCAGCTCTATCGGTTTTTGCGGCCATTTTTGGAGATCTCCCTCAGCCATCGTCGCTGGGTTTTCTAAAAAGGTTGTTCTTCGAAAAGTAGATTATTAGCAAAGGTTTATCGGGGGCAGGGGGACTAACTTCGAATTTTGTTTCAAAGTTGGCAAATAAATGGGCTCTGAACTGTTAGCGGGGGGGGCATTTTTAGCGGGGGCAACCAAATTTTTTCCGTTTCGAGTTCTCAAAAATTTTTAAAATATTTGTTAACTTTCTAATAACCAAAAACTTACAAAAACCTTGTAAAATTAATATAAGGTCAACCGCCCAGAACCGATAATTTAAACAAGCCACTAACGGCACTCGGCTCTCCTTTCGGGACTCCTCTTCCAGCCGTACTGCCAGCATCCCATCGGCTCGATCCGCGCTTGCTCGTGCCCCTTTCGCTCTAAAAAATGGATGGTGCTTTCGCATTATCGGGGGGGGGCAATTTTTTCCCGGATTCATTTAGAAAGGTCTATTAACTTAATAGGGAAATGTTTTCATTATGCTTTATTAACAAAACTACTAGTTTTAAACCGGAAAAACAAAAACAAATATTCGTAAAATGTCGAGATTTGGTCAAAAAGGACCATTTTTTGTCGAAAACTGCGGTTAGCAAAACAATTACCCATCACCCATTCCGTGTAGCAAAACACGATGTAGTCCGGCTCCGTCGGGATGTCGGGGCATGCTGCAAATGAGAATAAATATCCTTGAAGCGGCAATTCTCGCCAGCCGTTTCTCTCCCTTGCTCTCTCTCCCGCTCTCTCATTCTATCTGCCTCGCTCTCTTTCTCTCGCGCTCTCTGTCTTTCTCTAGCTCTCTCTCTCTCTCTCGCGCTCTCTCTCTCTCAGAATTTCAGAGACATTGTCATAGCCATTTTTAGAACCCCACCCTCCCCACGCAAAAATCCCACTCCCCGCTAATGCCCCAGCGCGAAAAAGCTTAAAAACGTACCGTAGGTGACGTTAAACTGTTTTGTCCCGCTCGTGACCAGCTCATGGAAGGCCACTCCCTGATCATCAGGGTAGATCTCTCGCTTCAGTGGCTTGCACCCCCTTTTCGGATGCCACGGGTAGCCGGACACGTCACAGTACACATGCTCTGGGCTCTAAACATGGTTTTTATTTGCCGGAGAGAACTGAAAGTCTCAAGTTCGCATTCGTCCTAGCTGTTGCTCCAGCATTATCACTTTGTAGGTGTTTTTCGTCTTCCGCTACTTTTTGATGCAAGGTTTTTGCTGAAAGGCGGACCTCCTGGAGTTGCACAAATGGCGGGAGCATCAGAAGAAGCAGGAGCAGCATCGGGAGGCCGATCTGGGCGGTTGATTGGAGGGCGGGGTTTGATGAGAATGACGCCAAAACCTTTTCGTGTGGTTTCCCGTGATGGAAGTTCATAGGATTCAAATTCAAAAATTATTTAAAAATTCTCTGGGACTAACCGGAAGTAGAAGCTGAGAGAGAGAGAGAGAGAGAGAGAGAGAGAGAGAGAGAGAAAGAGACCGATCCAGTGAGCCCGTGCAAGAACCTTATTCGAAACCTCTGGTTATATTAATCACAAAGCACATCTTGGATAGAATGGGTGTTACAGGTCTGGAGCACGAGCTTTGCTTGAACATCGTGCTCGGCCCCGGGGTAGAGATCAGACGATTTGGTCATTCGTGGTGGGTGTGGCTGGCTGGATGGTAGGAGTGGCGACAGTAGTGGTGGGTGTATTGGGCCTCGAGTTGGACGGAAGTGGTGGCTGATCCCGATCGGGGAAGCTTCCTGAAAAAAATGAAAATATAGGGGGTTCCAAAATGCCAAATCTGGCCCCGTTGGGTTTTGGTAAATGGCCAGCGGTCGCTGCGAGGCGACGGGCAATTTTCGAATTTTGCGGAAAACCATTTTCGTTCGATTTCTTTGTCAAAACACTATAACTCTCAGATTCGGCGAAGATTTCTAAACCCCTGGTTCTGACTTCTGAATTTTAGACGATTATAGTGTTTCAATCATCGAATTCGGCAAAATCATGTTTGAAACCGAAACAAATTTTTCCGTTATTTCGAATACCTCTATCCAACTTGCAGAATAGCGATTCTTCAAAAGTTATGCACGATTTAAGTTTGGAAAACCATAGAAAGTGGCGCATTTTGGGCGCTTCTGGGTCTTACGGCGTTCATAACTTTTGGAAAATGACGATTCCGCAGATTTCGTAAACATCGTAGGACTCGGCGCAAAATTCTGCACAAACTTCGTCTTAACTTGGGGCCCGGACGACAGCTACGACGGAAACAAAAGCAAAAAAAAACGGACGCTTCTTTTGGACACAGTAGATGCAGCAATTCCCGCAGCCGACGATCGCCAACGCGCCGCCGAAGCTCAGGACGAGCAGCAGGTATTGGTACAACTCGCGGCTGGAATGGAATAAGATTTTAGGTGGTGCTTTAGCATTTTGATCGGCTAACTTCAGACCCCGCTTGACCGCCGTGTACTCGGGTTTAGCCGGAATCAAAGAAATGTGCTCCTACTCACTCGGAATTCTCAAGCTGCGACTGTCGCTTCCGGATATCATCGTCGCTTTCCGTTGGTTTCGGCTCGGCGGGTTTAGTAGGCTTTGATTGCTAAAAATCACCAGAAAAATTTTGAAAATTTGGAATTTTTTGGCATTTCATAGTCTTTTTTCACATATTTTTGGCGAGAAATCGAAATATGCGAACATTTCTATAATGTTTTCCGAGGTTTTTATATCTAAAAGCGGTTTATAATGCTATAAAAATGGTCTATATTCCGTTGTAGAGCCCGCTGGATTACCGGGAAAGATTATTACAGCATTCCTGCCCCTCCTAACCCTGCCCCCCGCTAACAGCCCAGTACCGTCGTAGTAGCGGTGGTGGCAGGCGTCGTAAGCAGCCAGGACGGCTGAAATTGATTCGGGTGTCATTTGTATTAGTATGTCGCGGAAAATCCAAAAAAATCAAGGGTTAGAGCCTAGCTTACCCCCGCCCCAGCCAGCATTTCCCCCCCAAGTCATCCGATTAATGCGCGACGTATCTCAAAAGGGACCTCTCTTCAAACATTCCATTTCCATATACTTTTTTAAGCGAAAATAAAGAAAGAAAAAGAAAAAAAGCTTAAACAAATATTGGTTTGTATTGGGGCGACAGCCATCCCTTTCCCCGTTGTAAGCGTCGAAAGGGGTGCCCCGTTGCCCTGTCCCGCAACACTATAGTTGCGCCGCAACAATAAATTGCTTCTAAAATTGTTATTTGTTATTTTTCTTCTCAAAAAAGGATATGGAAATGGAGTATTCGACGAGGGGAACATTTTGAGATACTTCACGCATTAATTGGACGAGTTGGGGGGCGAATGCTGGCTGGGCGGGGGGTAAACCAGATTTTAGTCCAATGTGCGCCAAAAGTTATGTAGGCTTAAAGTAGCGAACGTTTTTGACCGCTCAATAAACCAACATCATATACAAAGTCGTCACGTCGCGTCGCAGTCCTCGTGAATCCAATAGGTTCGCCCGCAAATGACTAAAAATTTCGTTAGATCATCACAGATGTATTGTCACAATATCCTTGACGTATTCATTTGCCAGCGCGATTAGGCCCTTCCCGGCTGGCATGATCAGCTTTATCGGTTCTTTCGGCCATCCTTGGAGATAAGCCTCGACCAGCACCGATGCATTTTCTAAAATAACACCTGATGCTTGATTCTAAGTCGTTAACGGGGGGAGGAAGTGTGTAACTAACTAACTATAAAACACTAATAAGAGATTAAAACACTAACGGCACTCGGCTCTGCTTTCGGGACTGTTCTTCCAGCCGTACTGATAGCATCCCATCGGCTCGATCCGCGCTTGCTCGTGCCCGGGTCGCTCTTAAAAAAAGCTGGTGCTTGCGCAGGATCGGTGGAGGGGCGGCGGGACCAATTTTTTTGTATCAATTTAGACCCCCCCCCCCCGATAATTCGAAAGAACTCAAAATATAAGCCATTTTTTCCGCCGCTTACCATTTACCCATTCCGTGTAGCAAAACACAATGTAATCGGGCTCCGTCGGTTTTTCGGGGCACGCTGCAAATTAAAAATAAAAATCCAAGTGGCCTTGCTGGTCGTCTCTCTCCACCCCTTCTGTCTCTCTCTCTCTCTCTCTCTCTCTTTCTCTCTCTCTCCCTCGCTCCCTCGCTCTCTCCCTCGCTCCCTCGCGCTCTTTCTTCCTCGCTCTCTCTTTCTCTCTCCCCTCCGGCTATCTCTCTCTCACCCACTCTCAGAACTCTCTCCACTAACACCACTGCGAAAAACAAAAGCTTAAAATGTACCGTAAGTGACGTTAAATTGTTTCGTCCCACTCGTGATCAGCTCATGGAATGCCACTCCCGAGTCATTAGTGTAAATGTCTCGCATCAGCGGCTTGCACTCTTTTTCCGGATGCCACGGGTAGCCGGTCACGTCACAGTACACATGCTCAGGGCTCTAATATGGTTAGCCAAAAAATCGCCAATTTGCCAAAATTTTTACGAGGTTTACGATAGCTGAAAATTGCTATAAAAATGGTCTAAGGAATTTGGGGTCCTGCCCCGTTAACCCCCGCAAACAGCCCAGTACCGTTGTATCGTTGGTGGTAGTGGTTGTCGTTGTAGGCAGCCAGGACGGCTGAAAATGGTGAATCGGTTGCTGATCAGGCAGAAACGGGCGGAAAAGGCGCAACAGTACCCCCCGACAAATACGACAGAACCATAGCAACAATTTCAGTCGTTTTGCGTGTGGGATATCAGGTAAATTAGCTGAGAAAAACGCGACACAAAAACATAAAGCATTAGAACTAAACGTTGCCCCCTAGCCGGCCGCAGGCGGGTCCGTTTTTTAAGTGCCCAGTATCTATGGAAAGCTCTCGGAAAAGCGGGTCCAACACGTCACTCTATTCCACAAATTTTTCAAATTTTTTAAATAGTTACTTAGATTTTTGCGAAAAGCTAGAATTTTCTGATGTTTTCTGCCCAAGGGTTTTTTCAACAAACAAAAATTTAAGGATTTTTCGCTTTTTCTGGCGAGCCAACAGAGATTTTTCAAAAGCCGTTTGCGAAAACACAGCTTGGTTAGCACTTAAACCGGTAAAATTGGGTTTTTGACAAAAAAATCGCGTCTTATTTCGATGAAAAATGGAGAAAGTCGAGCAGCGTGTAGGACTCGCTTTTTCAAGAGTTCTCGATAGATAACTAGTCGTCAAAATCGCGCACGTCTGCGGAGCTTGGGTCTTGGCTGAAGTGCAGTTCACCCCCCTCCCAGCCGACCCCCACCTACCGTATCTCGGCTCCCTGTTCATCTACAGGTGTGTAAAGTATGCCAAAATACTCGCCAGTGCAAGGCAAACAATTTGGTATACTTTAAAGACATGTAGATGAACAGGGAGCCGAGACACAAAAGTTGGGGGCCGGCTGGGGGGAGGGGTAAACTGAACTGTAACCCTATCGTCCAACGAATCACAGCGGTTTTTGCCAAGTCCTGTAAACCCACATCGTAAACAAAGTCGTCACGTCGCGTCGCAGTCCTCGAGTACCCAATCGGCTCGCCCGCATACCCCTAAAAATTCTGTTAGAGCATCACGAATGTGTTGTCACGTAGTCCTTGACGTATTCATTTGCCAGCTCGATTAAGCCTTTCCCGGCTGGTGCAATCAGCTTGATCGGTTCTTTCGGCCATCCTTGGAGACGGTCCTCCGTCAGCACCGATGCATTTTCTGAAAAAACACCAGTCACTTTTGGTTAGAGTGCAGTTGGCACCCACACCCCCAGCCGGCACCCAACTTTTATATCACAGCATCCTGTCCATCTACAGGTGTGTAAAGTCAACCAAAATGTTCATCTTGCTCTGGCGAGTATTTTGGTATACTTTACACACCTGTAGATGAACAGGGAACGGATTTACGGTAGGTGGGGTGGCTGGGGGGTAAACTGCACTACAGCCCAGTTTTTTTTTGTATCAGTCTATGTCTAGAAATGAACAGTAACCTCATACGAAGTATTTTGGCAACGTTTTAATAAAATAAAATTATTTTTGAACGAGAAAAACTAGCTATAAATTTGAACAAATTTGAGAAAGCCGAAATTTTGGTAAAAAACGACGATTTTTGGACAAAAAAAATCTATATTTTCGATGTTTTTTTAATATAAATTTGTAAGGTTTTTACGCTTATGAATAGTAGAAAACAGCTTTAAAAATCTTACGCTATTCAGATTGAGAAAATTGTTTCCTAAGTAAGAAAATTTCGTTAGCGGGGTGGGAGGGGGGTTTATTGGGAGCGCGATCCCGCTAACACCCCCCCGCTAACAGCCCAGAACCGATAATTGATTATTTTATTTTATTATTTGATGAATTGTCGAACCGCATTCGGCTCTGCTCTCGGGATTCTTCTTCCAGCCGTACTGCCAGCATCCCATCGGCTCGATCCGCGCTTGCTCGTTCCCGAGTCGCTCTAAAAAAATCAAACGATATATAGGAGTGCAAATGTATCTAGCTAGTTGGATATACGGTCACCTATCTAAACATGCATGGTTTAGGTATACAAAAGTGCAGCTCGAGCAGAGCCGAGGTCTGTCAAAAGAATGATTGGGAAAATTGTATCAAGAACGTTATGAAGGCTTGAAATTGGTTTTCGGAAACATTAGGATAAGCGACAATCAGTTGTATGGATCGTGTAGTTCCTTATGGCCGCGTTCTACGACCTCTTCAATGACCATTGTTTTAGCAGCTTTCCATTACGCGGGTAAAACGGTCTACGGATATATCGCCATGCTTGCGCCTAGCAAAAAATTACCATTCACCCATTCCGTGTAGCAAAACACAATGTAATCGGGCTCCTTCGGGTTGTCGGGGCACGCTGCAAATGAAAAATAAAAATAGTTGAAGTGGTCACTCTTGCTAGTCGTCTCTCTCCTTGCTCTCTATCTCTCTCTCACTCTCTCCCCGCCCGCTCTCCCTCGCACCGGCCCCCGCTCAAAAAACCAGTGCGAAAAACAAAAGCTTAACAAAGGTACCGTAAGTGACGTTAAATTGTCTCGTCCCGCTTGTGATCAGCTCATGGAATGCCACTCCCTGGTCAGCAGGGTAGATGTCGCGCTTCAGCGGCTTGCACTCCCTTTCCGGATGCCATGGGTAGCCGGTTACGTCACAGTTCACATGCTCAGGGCTCTAAACAGGGTTTTTGTCTTTTTTTTTGTCGGGAAAACACGACAAGACGCAGATAGTATTGGCCCTTGAGTATCCTTTAACATACGCGTTGCAGTACCCCTCCCCTCCAGCCGGTCCTCTCCTACCTTATATCTACTGCGTGGTCGTCTACAGGTCTTTTGTAAGTCATACCAAAAGACTCTCCCAGGAATCCCAACGAAGTCATTGGTATCCTTTACGCACCTGTAGGCCGACGGGGAGCTGATAAAGTTAGAGTAGGGGGCGGGCTGGGGAGGCGCCTCTGTAGTCATACACCCCCAATCGTATTGAAGTAAAAAAAGCAGTCAAGACTGCTAACTTCCTTGAGGTAAACTACATTCTTGCCAAAAGCCCCCACCATTTGAAGCTGCACAAATGGCAGTAGCATCAGAAGAAGCAAGAGCAGCATCAGGAAGCGGAGCTTGACGGTTGATTGGAGGGCGGGTTTGGCAAGAAAGACAGCCAGACAATGACATTTTCAGAAATGCGATATGGTCCCGTGATGCTAATCGCTCAGATTTAAACTACCGAATTTACTTACACTAATTTGAAAGTTGAAACGCGAGAGAGAGATAGCGAGAGCGAGAGAGAGATATAGAGAGAGAGAAAGAGGGCGAGAGAGGGAGCGAGAGAGAGAGAGAACGAGGGATAATGAGAGAGCAAAGGGGAGAGATAGAGAGCATGAGAGAGAGAGAGAGCGAGAGTGATAATGAGAGCGCGAAGGAGAGAGAGAGAGAGAGAGAGAGAGAGAGAGAGAGAGAGAGAGAGAGAGATGCACCATCAATTCGGACTTGGCTGTGTGTGTTTATTCAGAAACTACTTTAGTGACGTGAATCAGAAAAAAAAGATCACAATACAAAACAACACAGCATTCTACAGAGGAAAAAGGAAATCGTGGTATTTGTTGTAGTCGTTGATCCTAGTTGGGGGCGCCGGTGGAGGAGGGCGGAATATAGGCAGACGTCGGTCGCTCTTCCAGCTGCTGAACTGGCCTGCCGCGCGGCACGTTGTTGGCCGTAGCGTTGGGGCCGTCTGAAAAGGACGAACGTGAACAACAAAAAAAAAACCAAAAAAAGGCTGAAATTGTGCAAAGAAAAACGTACACAGCTTCTGCGCTTTGACCACGGTGCGGTACTTGATGTAGTGCGAGGCGCCCAGGATCCCCACCGCCGTCGCGAAGCTGATGAACAGCAGCATGAAGCGGTAGTAGACAGCGCTGAAATTAAGGGTCGAATCTTCGGATCTGATTTTTCAAATATAAATAGTGAAATTGTTTTTAAGCGGTCTTTTACTATTCTCAAGCTTGAAAACTTTACAAATATTTTTCAAAAATATAGAGTCTTCTACTGAAAATGGCCAATTTTTGAACAAAATTTCAAGGTTTTCAAAATTTTGGAGTCCTTAAAGATCTCTTAGTTCAAATAAAGCTACATTTACTAAGAACACGACTAAAACGACTACTCCGCGCTACCTTTTATTGCTCCTACGCGTAAAAATGGGAATAAAATTCGTGTGGAAGATGGTATCGCTATATACTCGGCGCGCTCGATGGCCAGTTGGGCGCGGAGGTTGTCGTCCTCGCTGCTGCCGCTCTCCGTGGGCTCCGGCTCGCTGGTGGTCGTCGTCGTGGTAGAGGGCGGCGGAAGCCACTCTACCTGAAGAAGAGTTAGAATCGTTAAATCCTCATATTCTAGTCCCAACGTCGAATTCGAAGGTCGACGGGCGTTTCAAGGGATGATCGATGTGGCCCACTTGTTGTCGCTGCGCCATATTCTGAAAAACAGCGCCCACGGTCTAACAAGCTTACAAGGCTTACTGTCAGGCTTAGGCTTAGGATCAGGCTTAGGCTTAGACTTAGGGCTTAGGCTTAGGGCTTAGAATTATGCTTAGGCTTATGCCTAGGGCGTAGGCTTAGGGCTTCGGCGTAGGCTTATGCTTAGGCTTAGAGCTTAGGTTAAGCTTAGGCTTAGGCTTAGGTCTAGGCCTAGGGTTAGGTTGAGGTTTACGACTTAGGATTAGGCTTAGGCCTGGGCTTACGGCTTAAGTTTAGGCTTAGGCTGAGGCTTATGGCTTTGGGCTCAGGTTTAGGGCTTAGGCTCAGGGCTTAGGCTTAAGCTTCGGCCTAGGCTTAGGCATGTAAGCCCGAGCCTCGCCGAAGTGAAAACCTTCACCTAATTCATCATCAATTTACCATTTGAAACATATGGTGCTTGAGGAGCATTTGGATGCCGGGGCTGGCGTTGTGGACGAGCTTCATGGGGACCCTCTTGCCCTTGTAGTTATAATACGACAGCGCTGTCGTGTTGTCTCAAAAAATCTTATTAAGAGGCTGTAGGAGAGCAGCTACAGCAAGCTGTCGAGGGCTCGATCTTCCAGCCGTAGCGCCAGCAGCCGGGCGTCCTCATTGGCACGATACCTGAAGAAGCATGTTGAAGCGTCCGGTGATTAGAAGGTATTACCGAGCCCAGCCATCGTATGGCAAAACACGACACGTTCGTCTCCCTTCGACACATCGGGGCACGCTGAAAGGCCAAAAACGGTCCTGGTTCGTTAGCGGGGGAGGGTGGGGTAGGCATCGGGGGGAGTGCTTTTTGCTTTCAGAATAGGCCATTTGCCAAAGGGGATCGCCTGATATTGCCCTCCCCCCGCTAACGAAACGGAACCAAAAGAATACAGGATGTCCCCATAAAAGGTCACGGCATTTTGCCACTTCGAGTCTGATCGACTTGAAATTTTGAATTGCGGAAGGATAGTCAAAATGTGCACAAAAACTTTCAGCCCGATCGGCCCAGGCATTTTCGAGTTATTGCAAAAATGCTATTCAAAGAATTCCGAGTTTCCTAAGAAAAAAAAAATAAATAGAGTTTCTTATTTTATTTTGATGATACTTTCGAGGCCTGATTCGAGCGAAATTACGAGTAAACGTAAAACAAAGTATGTTTGCAATTGGGCTGCAAGTTTCAGTGAACATCTTAAAATCCCCGCGCGCCACTGTTCAAACTTTCAAGGCTATCGAACCCGAAAAGGATATGTAGAAGTTCACGGTGCTGGTCCCTCAGCGCCAAATTGAAAAGGGCGTACCGTAGTACACCGTAGCTGGAGCGACCGTTCCGTCTGGGGTGCCTTCGACGTGTTCGATGAGTGCCATGCCCCAGTCAAGCGTTCTGAGTCCGGGCTGTCTGCGCAGCTTGCAGCCGTGGATCGGATCCCAAGGGTGCCCCGTCACGTCACAGAAAACTTTCTGGCGATCACCCTGGAAATTTAAACGTTAACATAAAAATAAAAATAAACATAAACCGGAGATGCGGTACAATTCGGATAAGCGGGGGGGAAAATTTTAGGCGGGGGAAACCGAACTTTTTTCCGCCCAAGCCTATATTTTTTATATAAATAGTGGAAGTGTTTCTAAATTGTCTATAGCTATTCCTAAACATAAAAACTTTACAAAACTTAATTAAAAATTTTAATTTTAGATCGAAAAATCGTTTTTTTTCGGCCCAAAAATGACCAAATTTTCGACGTTTTCAAGCGTTTTTCTAACTTTTTAAAAAGTTTTTCCGATTCAAATAGGCTTAAATTTTGCTAAAAACAATGTGAAAACACTTTATATTTGATTACTATCCCCACCAGGGCCGACAAAAAAAAGTTGGTTTCCCCCGCCTAAAATTTTCCCCCCGCTTATCCGAATTGTACCGGAGATGCGGATGCAAAAAATGGGCAGAGAGTGGTGCGAGGCAGGAGGGAGAAGATTTATGCTAATTTTACAGCTAAACCCCGTTTTATGCTAGTTTACCTGGGCGAGATGCTCGAATGTAGCTGGCAGGAATGGGGAAATTTATATTTTTAAGCTATGCAAATTAAGCGTGCCAACCCAAAAATTTAGTAAAACCGACTTTAACTTTGTAAAACTGACCTCTTGCAGCTGCGCAAATGGCAGTAGCATCAGAAGAAACGCCGACATCATCGGAAGGTCCATCTTGGCTGCCGAGTGGAGGGCGGAGTTTGATGAGAATGATATCCGGGAGTTGGCATTTCCCGGGGTGAGGTCCGGTGATTGAAGTTTATAAGATTCAAATGAGGTCGATGGAAATAATTAGAAACCTTCTGCCACCCCGAACCTTGTCTCATTTGCATCATTTACCAGACCGGAAGCGAGATCAAGCCCAAAGCGCCAAAAGCGCCTTTGTTTAAGCGGGTTGTATGGAGCCGCATGCAAAATGCCGGCTCACTATTTGATTCGGCTTCTTGTACTTCTGCTGCTCATTCTCGGCTGCTCTGCGCGATGGTGCTGGAAATGCCTCAACACGCAGGAGGGTTGTGAAGAGGGCGGAGAGGTAACGGGGGTTCTGGTTCGTTATCGGGGAGCGGGGTTATTGGCGGGGGGAGAAACTTTAATGTGGTAGATTTTTCAATAACGCCAGTCTCGGTAAGAGTTTACTTTACCCCCCCCCCCCACAGTCGAAGGGTCTCAAAGTTGTCGATATTTTCGCTTATTTTGTCGGGATTTTTGCAACGCCATTCGATAGAGCGTCGAAAAATATACTAAGAGTTTTAATTTGAGCCTACAATAATGTAAAATAAAAAAGTTATAGCCAAAAACTTCCGGCTGGGGGGGGGGGTAAAGTAAACCGTAGCCGCAGTCTCTCTTCCCCCGTCGCTACACCACCGGCACAATCTCTTTCGCCTAGGAATTGTGGGAAGAGGCAAAAATGCAATGCGCTGACGGCGAACGCTGCGTCTGGTTCTGGAAGCAAGAGAAGCCATACTCGGTTCCAGAGCAAAGAAGAAAGTGCGGTACCATGGGCCCGCACCGCTGTGGATACTCTGAGAGTGACGAGGAGGGCGTAGGTGAGTTGGCTACGGTTTACCTGGCCTCCCCCAGCCCGAAGGTCCCAAACTTTCGAGATTTGCGCGATTTTCTGTGGTTTTCTTGACGCCATTCGTTAGACCTCAAAACCCTCAACCCTCAAAACTGTTAGCGGGGAGGGGTGCATTCGCATTATCGTGCGGGGGTGGGGCCTAACTTTTTTCCGCAACTATTCAACGCTATTAAATTTTCAACATTCTTTTTCCAGGTAAACTGTGGTGGTGTACATGTGACACTGATTTCTGCAACGACGCGCACTTTAAAGAGTTGAAGGCCACGGTGGCAGCCTACTCGCCGACTCCATCGCCATCGCCGCCGCGACCCGTCTCCCCCGTGACAGTTGATTGCCTGTATTGCGCCTCGGACTTTACCGAACCCCCAAGATCTCCGCTGCTGCCCGGCTGCCGTGAGGGTGGCAAGGTGAGAAGTACCACATTTTTTCCGGCGCAAGCCTACATTATTTTCTAAAGAGCGGATGCGTTTCTACATTTTTTGGCTATTCCTAAGCACAAAAACCGTACAAATTTTAACTAAAAATTTAATCTTGAGTCGAAAATTCATTTTTTCTACCCAAATTGACCAAATCTTCGAACGTTTCAAACGTTTTTGAAAGTTATTTACTCTGCAATATACTAAAACTACTAAAAATTGTAAAAACACTTTATATTGAATTACTAGGTCAACCGAGACCGCCAGTAAAAAAAGTTGCTTATAAAACAAATGAAAGTTTTTACGCTAAAAAATCGCGCTGAAAATAATTCTCTTAGTATATTTTTACGTTCTACCGAATGACATTTCCAAAATCCCGCGCCAATTTAAAATGCTAAAAATAATGATAAAATCTTGCCTAGGAATTGTCGAAGCAAACGACGCACGAGAAGGGACGCTGCGGGGTGCCGGGCCAGTATTGCCAAATGAACGTCAAATTCCATGATGACCCTACCAATCCTCCATTAATCGAGAGGTTCTGCGTGGAAGGAGAAGATCCAAAATGTACAGTCCACCGCGAAGACGACGGTGGGTTCGCCCAGACATCCCTGGGAAGTCAAGAACGTCATGTTTGTGAAATGAACCTAGCAGAGCTCATCAAGCTCCTCTTGGTCCCGTTTAAAGCCAATTATTTCCAGGTTTCATGATGGGCTGCGGATGCGAAGGCCCACTATGTAACGATTGGGACGAAATAACACTCAAGAAAATGGCGGTAGCTGCTCTAGAGCCGCGACAAGACGCCCTGAACCTGTCCTCGCCATTGCCCGTCGTCCCCAACGGAACGACCTATTGCCTCTTCCCCTATTACATCTTCATCTTCCTGCTCGCTTTTGCCTAAATTTTCCGCCAATTATAACCTTGGTTTTCCCTCAATTTTAATATCTTCTTGGTGTGAATAAAAGGTGTTAAAGGAACTTGGGAGTTCAAAGTTGCTCCCTAAGCAAGGAACGAAGATAATAGTCGAAAAACGGGACAAGTCGATAAGTCTTCATTTTAAAGGAAACGCGCCAAAAACCATAGGAGCAAGGCCTCGCAGACAAGTACGACCGCGTACACGCAACGCTGACAATTTGGGCGCACACAGATGGCCCGGCAACAGAGACAAAAATGGAAAAAGGACGAATAAACAGCGACAATTGAAGAAATGGCTGGGTTTTTAGCTGGATTTTCGGGCAAAAAAGGCCCTTTTCCGACGAAAATGCCTGGAGCTTTCGCGACGAGTTTTTGGAAAATAAACGGTTTCATCCGGTACAAACTTGTTTTTGTTCTATGGGCAATGCATATTTAAGGTAAGTGCCAAATCAAACCCCTTTTTGAGAGGTTTTTGTGATTTCTGGCAGATGCCAGCGGCGGCGACGGTACGACCCTGACTGTCCTCACTTCTTCGATTCCTGCGCGAAAGTGTTCGTGATCGATTCGCAGCCGAACGGTGTACTGATCTTGGCAACGATGTGTGGTGTGTACTTTATTCAGAAACTACTTTAGTGACGTGAATCAGAAAAAAAGAGAACACAATATATACAATACACGCAACACAGCATATACTACACTACAGAGAAAAAAAACAGGCGTCGATGTCTTTGTTGTAGTCGCCAATCCTAGAGTGGGGCATCATTGGAGGAGGGCGGAACGTAGACGGACTTCGGCGGCTCTTCCGGCTTCGGGGCTGGCGTGCTGGGCGGAGTTTTGTTGACGGTCGGGTGGGGGCCGTCTGAAAAAGCTTGCTTATCAGAAGGTCACGAAAGCGTTCAATTCCAGAAGGCAAAAACGTACACAGCCTCTGCCCCTTGACCTCGGTGCGGTACTTGATGTAGTGCGAGGTGCCCAAAATCGCCACCGCCACCGCGAAGCTGATGAACAGCAGCATGAAGCGGTAGTAGGCCGCGCTGGAATCGAAGTCAATTTTTAGCGAGTTTTTAACTTTTGTGGGCTCTTGGCTGTTGGCGGGGGAACAAATTTTTTCCTATGATTCTCCACGGCTCCAAAAACAAAATAAAAACCATTAGTCTTATTTTTAAGATACAGAAACAAAAAATAATCAAAAATTTGTATGTTCGACTACTTCGCCAAAGATGTATGGAAAATTGCCACAAATGTAAAAAAATTCGATTTTTCAAAATTTTTTAGACCTTTTAGCAACCAAAAACTATTGAACACCACCACAAACATCGATTTTTCGACCAAAACTCAAATCGACAAGGCGTTCTAAATTTTTTAGATGTTTACCCCGTTAAACTATAGTAAAATAGTACCAAAACAAATTTGAAAAAATTAAAGTCGTATCGCTACGTACTCGGCCTGCTCGATGGCCAGCTGGTGGCGCAGTTTGTCTTCTTCACTCTCCGTCGGCTCCGGCTCGGTGGTGGTCGTAGTGGTGGTGGTGCTTGTCGTCGTCGGCAGCCATTTCTCCTGAACCATATATCATTTGTATGGCGGCAGCAGGTTTAACTCACCTGGTATTTGAAGTCGGAACTGCGCTCAACAAGTTGATCATTGCCGATACGATTCCTTCGATCGGGCTGCTGAAAGTTAAAATATAAGCTAGTATTTGTTATATAATAATTTTGCTGTGGTGTCTGTCCATGCGTCCGTCCGTCGTGTCCCGGATTCAACTCAAAGGGGAAAGGAGCTAGAGCTTAGGTCTCTTCGGATTCGGATAGAGCGTGGTCAGAAACCGCAAAACTGATAAATAAATTATGAAAAAATTTTAGTTTAAATTATTAAAATTAACTTTGAAAGTGCCGCCTTAATAAAACGAGTGGGGGGCCCCCTCTCCCGGGAGGCCACGCCCCCCTTTCCCAGCCCCTCTTCACCAGGTCCCTTCCCGCGCCCGTGCCCTTCTTAGTATATTTTTTCACGCTCTATCGAATGGCATTAAAGAAATTTTTGAAAGTTATCGAAAATGTCGAAAACTAGCTTTCGACTCCACGATCCCATGTGGAAACACGGAATAAACCTTGTTTTTGCTATAACTATTTCATAAAAGAATATTTTAAGATGAAATTAAAATTCTGAGTATATTTTTTGATGCTCTATCGAATGACGGGTTGAAAATATCGAAAAACTGGCGCAAATGCCGAAAACTAACATTCCGGAACCAGTTTGAATAGTTTTTTTTGTTTTTGCTATAACTTTTTTATATTACAATATTTTTAGCTAAAACAAAAAATCTTAGTATATTTTTTGATGCTCTATCGAATGGCGTTGCAAAAATCCCGAAAAAATAGCGAAAAGATGGAAGGTTCCGCGAAGCATATTCCCCCCGCACAGTTTTTTCCCCCACGCGAAATAGAACAGAACCATTTAAAGTATTTAATAATTTTTATTTACTTTAATTCATTATTCTATCATTTAATGCATCTAAAGCCATTGGCAAGGTCTTTAGGTAATTTTTGAACGGGATTTCGGCTATGGGCGGGGGGTGGGGGTATCTGAAGCCGTAAGCATGGATATTGATGCAGGTAGGGAAGGATGTGGTGGAGTAGGACATGTAGGGTAGCTCGAATGCCAGATGGTTGCAGTCGCGAAGCGACTGTAGCCATCTGATTTGCTATATAGATCTTAATATAAGTCTTAATAGTGTTTATAACAATTTTAAAGAGACGTCACGTGCTAAACTATCGAAAAATCCTAGAGATACCTGTTTTGCAAAGATGTTTTGGGCGAGAATTGGCCTTTTTGGTCGAGAGTATTTACTTTTTGTCGTTTTGGGTTAACAATGGTGAGTTTTGACGTTTAGGATAAGCAAAGAACATTTTCGCGAACGACCACATTTTTATTGAAAAATTCGATGAAAAGGAAAAGCCGAATTACCTACAATGCGCGGAATTTTGGGTATTTCCGGTTTTACGAAATCTCGTTTCGGATCAAAATTTTTTTTGATGAAAATTTGTATCGTAATATAAAATAGCTATAGCTTACCGCTACTTTCACAAAAATCCCAAATCGGGGTACCTCATCAGGGACGTAGCGTAAGGTGGGCCCCCTGGGCCCGGTGCCCCCCCCGAAATCGGCCGGGGCCCGAAAATTTCATAAGGGGGGACCCTTATGATTTTTATTTTCTCAAAAATTTTGCTGCCTGCGGCGCTATTTTTTCACGTTATTACGACTATTTGTAGAGCTACATAGCCTTGTTTCTAAATTTTTTTGCCTGCGGCGCTGTTTTCTTTTTAATTGTTTGAGTTTTTCGGAAAAAATTTTTCGGGGCCCCCCCCCCGAAATTTTTTTCTGGCTACGCCCCTGTACCTCATCAAGGTAGAAGTTGACGAGCCATTGGATGCTATCGCTGGCCTGCACGTCCAGCTCGATCGGCTCCTCCGGCCAATCCCCGAGATCGTGCCAAACCGCCGTCGCATTATCTAAAAACAAGTCTTTTTTTTAATACCTCAACAAAGCGTAGGCAGTTTGGGCTAAGCGCGGGTAAAACCGACAGCAAAAAGTGGATCCGGCACGCTTCCAACCATATCGCCAGCAACCCATCGGAACGAGTGGTGCGAAAGCTAAAAAAACGGTACTGGTCTGTTCGCGCGGGCTGAGTAATTTTTCCGATAAGCAAGCATTTATCCTATTCAAATTTCATTTGAATAGGAAAATATAAATAGTATGCCCGAGTAAGTAGGAAACAATACCGAGTCCCTGTATGGTGTGGCAGAAGGAGACGTAGTATGGCTTGCGTGCGGGTAGAGGGCACGCTGAAAGAGGCTTTGATGAGATGGACCAGACATCTCGACAGGGTGCCTTAAAGACCGTCAGAACGATGCAATTCCGTTGAGAGCGAGAAAGTTGCGCACCGGGCGGGAGTCGAACCCGCGATGGTTCGCTCCACAGTCTGACGCGCTAGCCACTACGCCACAGGGCCAAGTGGGGAAGGGAGTCAGAGACGCCCCAAACCCCAGAGGGCCTTTGCCCAGTACGGGGCACCACTAATGACGCATCTCTCCGCGCGTTCTTGGGGGCAGCACCCTCGGGGTGACAGTGCGCGTTCCGTCGTTCTGGTAGTCTTTAAAGGTACACTAAAGTCTCGTTCGGTTGTTTACCGGCCGGTAACCGTCCGCGGGATAGCAAACAGGGTTACGGTAGGGGCTCGCCACGCAGCAAAACCGAACCCGCGCCACTCGCCTGGGGAAGCGCTTTGGACCACTAGGCCATGGGACAGACGGGAGACGGGACGGGGGGGGATAAGAAGGGTCCGGGCCTTCGGCGGCAAAAAGCCCGAATTCCCGACAGCGACCTTACTTTTTTGCACAAGATTTTAGTGTACCTTTAAAGTGGTAGCGCGGGCATATGTCAATCGGTTACGCGGGGGAAAGGGGGTTCCTCTGCGCCTCTTGCCTGGGCGCCCTCTCTCCCTCAGTTGGCAATTTTCCAGCTGTTGATTTCCCTCCCAAATGGGGGATCAACCGATGCTTTCTCATCTCCTTTAAATGCAGTTTACCCCTCCCCCCCCCCCCAGCCGGCGCGCAATTTTGTGTCTCGGCTCCCTGTTCATCTACAGGTGTGTAAAGTGCACCAAAATGGTCGTCTTGTATGTAACAAAAATCACCAAAAAAGGTCAAAAGGTTCTGTTCTATTTCGCGGGGGGGGGGACCGTGCAGGGGGAAATATGCTTCGCGGAAACTTCCATATCTTCGCTCTCGCGATTTTTGCAACGCTATTCGATAGAGCATCAAAAATATACTACGAGTTTTTGTTTTAGCTAAAAATATTGCAGTATAAAAAAGTTATAGCAAAAACAAAAAACTATTGAAACTGGTGCCGGGATGTTAGTTTTCGGCATTTTCGCCATTTTTTCGATATTTTGAACCCGTCATTAGATAGAGAATCAAAAAATATACTAAGAGTTTTAATTTCATCTAAAAATATTGTTTTATAGAATAGTTATAGCAAAAACAAGGTTTATTCGGTGTTTCCACATGGGATCGTGGAGTCGAAAGCTAGTTTTCGACATTTTCGATAACTTTCAAGGTTCTTTAGGATTTCCGGGCGGGGGGGAATCAATTTTTTTTTCGGTACAAGCTTAGATTTTTTTATAAATTGCGGATGCGTTTCTAGATTGTTTTTAACTATTCCTGAGCATAAAAACTACAGACATCATCATCAAACGATCAAATTTTCGACTTTTTCAAGCGTTTATCTAACTTTTTAAAAAGAACTCTTCAAAACCAAAACAACGCTTTAGTGGAAATTATACCGTAGATCACTCGGTACTTCTTCGACTTGAGGGTAACATGTTCGATGAGGGCCACGTTCCATTCCCGACTCCGCAGTCGATCCATCCTTAGCACCTTGCAGCCTTTCTCGGGATGCCACGGGTAGCCGGTCACATCGCACAAAACCCTCTGGAAGTGGGTGCTGGTCTGCTAGCGGGGTGGGGGGGGCGGTTTTCGGCCCGTTAAAGCGCACGTTCAGGGAGGGGCCGTATACTCGTCCCAACGTATACACCCTATGGACGTAGGGACCGCGCGCACGGCCTGTCCGTGTCGTGGCAGGCCATTCCCCTCCTTTCCGGGGTGAGGCGCCCTTCGACCGCTGGCCAGGTTGCACCTGTGGCTGCCTGGTATGCGTCCGCGCCTCCCGAACGCGGGGCCCGGGTTCGACCCCCGGCCGCGGCAAACATGGTTGCTTTTTTGCCCGAAAGCGTCCCTGGAAGTGCCCTTTAAAGATCTACCGTGTAATCTTACGGTAGCTCTCATATAATTTTTGATCGCTAGAATGCCATAAAGAATCGATACCCACTATCCTTTTATCGCCATTCTTGCAGCCGACGAAGGCGAGGAGGAGCCCGAGCAGCAGAAGACGGTGCAGCATCGAAGAGGCCACCTGGCGAGCTGGCGGAAGGGCAGGATGGATGATAATGGTAGAAAGATATCTCGCTTTTATGCCAGGGCCTACACATGCAAAGCACCGCCTCGTCCGCAATTACAATATTTGGTATTCAAATTGTATGCTATTCTTGTTTCACCAGGATTGCACGTCCTATAAAGCGCATTAAATCTGGATTAGGGGGAAAAGCATAATTTCTGCCATAATCCCCATTTATTTATCAAAAACAGCCATAAATTGCCGTTGCACTTGAAAAGTGCATTTTGCTAGTCGTTTCTCCTTTTGAAAACGGCATTGATTTTTTGCATGTTTAAAGGTTATTATTTATTCAAACATGAGAACAGCATTTATTTGTCAAAATAAATCCCTCTATCGCTCATTCTCTCCTTCTCTCGCTCTCTCACGCTCTCTCGCCGTTTTCACAAGTAAAGAGTTCGCGAAAGGAATCTCTCTCTCTCTCGCCCTCTCCCCCCCCCCCCTATCTCTCTCGGTTTCTAGCTGTATCGCTCTTCCCTTTCTCGTTCTCTCTTTCTCCCTCTCTCTCGTCGCACTCTCTTTCTCTCATTCTCTCACCTGTCTATGTCTCTCCCTTTCCCTCTTTTTTCCTTTCTCTCGCTCTTTTCTCTCTCTCTCTCTCTCTCTCTCTCTCTCCTCCACTCTCTCTCTCTCACTCTCTCTCTCTCTCTCTCTCTCTCTCTCTCTCGTTTACTCTCGTTTGCTTCCTTTCTCTTAACGACCCGCGAAATCAATTTTTTGCCTTTTCAGAACATTTCCACAATACATCTGATAGCGGTAGATAATTCTATTCTTTCCAACCCATAGGCGACGTGTCACCCCGCCAGGATCATAAAGTTGTAAAATAGGGCCGACAATTTCCCGCTCTAGTTGAAGGGTCGATGAGGATGGGCCAAGCAGGTGTGTGCCCCACAGAGAAAGAGACGGAAAAACACAGCCGGTGTGCTCTACCGACAACCAACGACGAGCAGGACGACAGCTTTTATTTTTGGAGCTCTAGGGCATTTTGGGTTATGGTTCTTGTACTCTTGACGGGTCGTAGTAATAATGGTCGGGGGGGGGGGATATTAAGGGCAATGTCTTGAGGTACTGGCGAAATTTTAATCAGCGTACCTTGTCAAGAGAACTTTATTAGACAGATAAAGCGACAACTAAAGCGAGACTTCTTGAAGCTAACCTTTTCTTCGCTTTATGGGATAGTAACCTGGTACGATTTGTGGATTTGTGGATTACAGAAGTTTAAACCTTTTCGAAATGAGAACGGTATCTTCACGTTTTCATTTTTGATCGCTGTTTGATTTTCATTTGCCTTCTTTGGTTGTGGAGGTTCTTTTGCATTATCCGGGAGGGGGGTCAGAGGAACCGAATTTTTCGTATACGACCCGAAATAGTGGGTGTTTTGATAGCGATGAAATGATGAAATTTAGTATAATAATTAAAAGAAGAGTATTTTTTTAATGTTTGATTACCCGTCAGCTTTTCTGCTCATGCTCGATTTGCCCAACCGATTACACATTGTCAAACAGCTTGAAAAATCGGGATTTCGTCACGAAGCATGAAATCACGGTTTTTAAGCTCCCTTCCCATAACCCCACCAATATCGCGAAAGCTCCGGTAGACGACCTTTGTATGTGTCGATGATCCGCTATGTTCTTCTGCTCATGCTCGATTTTGAGGAATTCGAAAACAGCAGGAAATTACTGATTTTAACGCTTTTTGGCAATCCGTAAACATTCAGCGATCTTTAACAAAATTCAGCTTGCTCAGAATTTTTCGCTTGATTGAACCAGCTGGTATCAGCCTTACTGTTTTCCTAATCGCCTAAAATCTCGCAAAAAAAAAACACGAAAAATCGACTTTTTACACCCCACAGTTTCCGGTCGATCCTACCAACCAACCCACTCTCCCCCCGAGCGATCATTTCCGAAAACGAACAGCCCCATAAATCGTTTTGTGGCCAAGCCGGGGACCCGGTGGGCACCTGGCCCTTTTGAGCTCCCGCCTCGAAATCGCTCACTTTCACGCTGGGGCTCCCTAAAGAAAACGGGAGGAGCAAGAGGGGCAATTGGGGACAAGGATCGTTGCCTTTAGCCCGACAATTTCCAAGCCGTCTTTCCGGGCACCCAAAAAAATCCCATGGGCCACTCGGTTTACACCTCCTGTCGTCGTCGTCGCGTCGTGTGGTGTGGCCCACCTGAGGGAAAGGAGCATAACCTGGCTTTTAGCCTTACGAGCCTCCCTTGTCAATAGTTTTGTTATTAATAGCTCAAAATTTATTAAAAATGAATAATAAAGTATATTTTCCCTTGATTTTCCCTTATTCCCTGCTACTTTAGTTTTTGCTCGAAACCTTATTGAGAGAGCTAGAGAGAAAGATAGAGACAAAGATAGAGATAGAGATAGAGAGAGCGAGAGAGCGAGAGGGAGAGCGCGAGACAGACAGAGATCGAGAGAAAGAGAGAAGGGACCCATTCGCTGTAGTTCTTTCATTTGTCATTACGCAATATATTGTTATCTATTTATTCAGACCCGATTCTTTTTTATTAAGGTATATTTGCTCATAAATAAATAGAGACGGGCACTTTAAAGGGACGTGCAAAACACTGACTCTGCACCGTATTTTTTTTGATTTTTCCACCAAATTTGGGGCCGGTTTGGACTCCGTGACCTCACAACCTCTACTTGTGAGTGATTTTTTTGCTTTCCTTTGTGATGACGAATCGGTAGATAAACAAGGAAATTATATTTACCATCTATTTCACTATTGCCTCGTTCCCAAATTCTTAATGCTATTTCATTTCAAAGGGCATTGCGCGCGTTTTCATGGCGTAATCGGCAAGCCCGTTGCCTTCTGGTCTTTAAAAAAAGACCCTAGATCACCCAATCTCTATCCTGCTATTTTGTTGCTGTGCGCCCTTTGAGTGCATGCAAGCCATGTGTTCCCCCGAGATCGAAAAGCCGCCGTGTGACATGTGTATGTGTGGCCGAGACGAATTTATAAAGGGGCCAAACACATGGAGGGACACACCGACATACACGACAAATCACCGAAAGAAGGGGAAAGGGAGGGAGAGAGAGAGAGGGAGAGAGAGAGACAGCGAGAGAGAGAGCAAGAGCAAGGAGCACGAGCTTTTGTGCTGATCTTCCTCCTTTTACTGCCACCTTTCCATACGGAAAAGAGGGTCCCCATTGCAAACGAGAAGCATCTGTTGTTTCGTGTCCAACTTTATTGCTGCGCCGCCTAGTAGTCAGCTTAAACTTTGCTAGGGTATACTAGAGGGTCTAGAGACTTGTAATATAGTCTCATCCTCATAAATCTACTTTTGAGGGTTTGTTTTGCATTTTTGCGTACAACTCTTGCTCCTTTCTCTCACTCCTCGCTCTCCCTCACTCTATCGCTCTCACACTTTATCGCTCTCTCTCTCTCTCTCTCTCTCTCTCTCTCTTGCTCTCTCTCCCTCCGTCTCTCCCTCTCTGCCTCTCTCTCCCTCTCTCCCCCATCTCTCTCTCTCACTCTCACCCTTCCATTAGGGCTTGCAACCTGACAAAAATGTCGTTTCTCTCATTTGCATTTCCCTGCAAGACCCAATCGCGCTGCCTAATTTTAAGTTGATTTTCAGGAGCCGTGAGAGAAACAGCCGAGAACCCCGGTCGACCCGGGCGGTGTGTCGTACATGAATGGGCGCATATTTATTCTCGGCTTTTCGCTATTTGTAAGCCGCCAGGTAGACGCGATCGAGCACGACCCTACTCCGACAGGTAACATAAAATTACCTGGAAGCCAGGAGCTGGTAGCAAGTGGAAGTTCTAAAACCGGTACCGAAATCAAAATGCGACGTGTGACAATACCAATAAAATCAGGCAACCTTCGGGATTAGTGGAAGCGTTGAACAGCTGGGAGCTGATACTGGAATTTTTCAGATCATCTCCAACTCCTAGCTCCTTACACCCAGATCCGGCTTTGACAGATAGCCGAATTCTCGCGTGTTTCAGAACTTGACCTGCTCGACTGGTCGGGCGGTATTCGCGTCGCGTTCTGCACGGAAGCCCCACTCCCCGATGTCATCTCCCCATTCAGAAGGGCCATGGCCAAGGTGGCCACCAAGTACTGCCAGAATACAACGGCGTGTAATCTCAAGAAACAGTACGTTACTTTCCAACTTACGGATGCCGCTATACCCCGAAACTATCGATCTTCTGAACGGCGCTCTTCTAGGGTAATCTTCCATCCCGAGTCTGTGCTGATGATCGAAAACTTTCCACGTCGAGAATTCGGGGAGTTGCTGCTCAAATTTTTGATCGTGCTGCCCCATGGTTCGATATTTGATTTGAAACAGCAGAGGCCGTTGCTGCCGAGGCCAGTTATAGCTGGTAGGTTTTTTCGACTTAAAGGGCAAGTACAGGGACGTTTTTGGAAGCAAGCAAAGTTTTTGGCCGCGGCCGGGGGTCGAACCCGGGCCCCCCGCTCGGGAGGCGCGGATGGATACCAGACAGCCACAGCTACAACCTGGCGAGGGGGTGAGGGGCGCCCGGCCTGTCACAGCACGGGCAGGCCGTGCGCGCGGTCCCTACGTCCATAGGGTGTACACGTTGGGACGAGTACACGGCCTCTCCCTGAACGTGCCCTTTAAGCGGAGTAAAATAGTACAGGCAAGTCAATGTAATATATTACGAGACAAAATAACAAATGTACTTAGTTGATCATACAACTTGGTAAAGTCACTATTTTTTTGTTAATTGACTACGTTCTTGAATTGAAGTCATATTTTCCAGATATGCTCTCAAAACATCGGGGAGAATTGGCGAGCCGACTGGGGTGGAATATTTTATCGTATGAAAGGTAGATAAATTATTGAATGTCTACTTTTTCTAGAAGAATCCTTGATAAATAACTTAGAAAGACGTTAAAATGTAGACCTATATAATCCACCACCTAAGAAACAAAAATGAATCTTTCCAGATACCCCCGTTTCGACCCGATGACCGAATTCATGAACATCGCCATCATTCCAATTATCATCTTCTCCATTCCGCTTATGATCTTTTTGGCTTATTGGACATCCACGTTACGGTAGGAACATTATGCTTTAGCGAAGCTACTGGCAATCTTAATGTTAGACCAAATATGGGCAGCGAGTCGTGGCTGGTCACCGGCTCTTCTGGAGGCAAGAACGCGGCGTTACGGTAGGTATAATCTCACTTCGTAAATTGACCACACCGTCTGAAATACCTTCCTATTAGTGCGCATTTAAGGCTGATTGGGTATAAGGTAGACTTTAAGGTTTAAACTGCACAAACAACGTCCAATTAAGCTGATTAAAAGTATCTTTTTTTTCTAGGCAATTTTTGAGGATTGGATGCGGTTTTCGAGACGTTAATACGCTAATATACCCCAATTTGTATCCCTAGGAACGAACCGGAGCCCGCTAATAGTTTTGGCGGATGATGAGCGCTATCTAAAGCCTGTCCAAAAAGCCGCAAGCACCCCCCGCGATCAATCACAATCAGTGTGGGCACTAGCAGCTGAGGGGGGGAGCTCCACCTAAAAAAAAGAGGACGTCCCGGGCACGGAGAAGGCTAAAAATTGATCCAGGGATTGTCGGGTAGGGCTATGGAAGAGGATCGCGTAAGATTAAAAAATACAATTATCATGTTGGATAAAAACACGCCTGGCAGGTTTTCCCTTTACTTTTGGACTTTGCAATCCTTTGTCTTTATCTTTGTTTAAAAAATCTTTTTTGAATCATGTGGTTTAAGCGCCATCGGAATAACTTGAAAATACGCGAATTGAAAAAGTGTCGAGAAAAATTCTTGTAGTTGGTTTTCCCACGAAATTTTATACCAAAGAGGTAGCCATATCGCATTCATTCCGTCATTTGTCAAACGGACTTGTTTTAAGAAAGAATAGATGTTTTCAACTTTTTAAAACGTGGGGATTTCCCATGGCCATGCTCATTCAGCAAAACGCGAATTTTAGAGATTTTACGTAAAGATTTCTAGCAAGTTTGAGGCCTATTTTCAGACGCACGATGGAAATAATCGCCGAGCAAAACGAGGAGATTCGCCGCCAGGAAATGGCCGATCGACTTCGCGATTTGCGAATTACCGGCGCGCACGAGGGGCTGAGCGGCCCCGCACAACTTCTGCTCAACGTCGCTAGGTAGTGGAACGGAATTTTGAACAGATTTAATAGAGTAGAACCAAAGGTCAAAAATCAGATTACCTAGTCATTAAACCTTTTCAGCCAAAACCCGGCAATGTGTTAGCGCCACTATTTTAAAGGGACACCCAGACGCATAGCTAACTGTCTGTCAGAGCTAATTCCAGGCTGTCCATCGCCTCTTCGTCGTATTCTCCACATGGGTCGCTACAAACCCGCCAGCATCATGGCCCGCCACCTCCAGTGATCATATCTCCATCTGCGCAGTCGAGAAGATCATCAGCTGCCTCGGCTGGCACGGTATATTTTTCCGAATTTTTCTCCCACTCGATCTCGTGCTCGCTCTCTCTCACGCTCTCTTTCTCTTTCTCTCTATCCCTTCTCTCTCTTAACTCACTATCATTTAGCGCTGTCCATCCCCTCCAAGTCAAGTTGGGAGCGCCAGCTTGCTGCAGCTGAGAGATTCACATCCGCACTTCAAGGGGTAAGTCTTGATGCCAATTTTATATCATGTATCGAACGATACCGACTAACAGTATACAAAACGATAAGACGGTGATATCCTACAACCCTTATTCTTCTTTCTTAGCAAAAAGAACGCCGCAGCTCGCGACGCCAATCTTCCATCGAGGGCATGGCGATCAAGGGTCGGAGAAGAGGTAATTTAAAATCAAGTTTGTCTAGAGTTTTAAATTACCTAAAAATTATAATTCGAAACAAAACTGGATTTCTAAATTTTTCAAATGCACAATCGTAATTTTTAGACACCTGAATTTAAAGCTTTAATTTTTAGTCCATGTGAAAGCTTCAGTTTTTCAAGATTTAATCAAGAAATTCTCTGTTTTAAAGTATACTTAAAAGGCTTACTAGGCTTAACAATATTTTTTAAAGTATCCGGCGTTCTTATCATTGTCCGGTTTAGTTAAAAATCCCTCTTTTTACAAGTTATCACTCTGTTGCTATACCGCATAAAGCATGCCACTTTTTGTACAAATAATTCCTCTGATTTCTGAGTCCACCCTTCCAGGCATAATTCCATTACTGTACGCTTTACGCACCCATTACCACGTGACGAGGGTGTGAAGGCAATTTTCGCCAGATGATCATATTTCCGCCAAGGTACCTTGCTACTATTCGTCATCAAATATCCCACTTTTTCGATCCGCGTTTTGCGGTAGCGAAAATCAGATTTTCGCCCGAGTCAGACTCCCTTACCCTCATTCAGCCTCAACAAGTAGCACATCATTTGTTTCATAGGATCATTGCGGAAATTTGGGCCCAATAAGGGCACACGGGGGAGTATATCGGGCTGTCTTGTGATGCCCCGACGGAATCGGGTTATTTTGGGGCGGTGTAGGCGCGCGTGAGTGTCATGCACAAAAATAAGAAGGGTACCAAACAATGGATGACAAGGAATGCAACTTTTACGCAAAAGTATTATGGAGTTTCAGGAAATTAATTGTGAAAATTAGTGTCTCGATCACCTTAAATGTGGAATATGGACTCCAGGCTGTTTACAAACATAAATAGATAGAAAACTACATCCGATAGTGATCAAGATATCTGAAAAGTGACGTGGCAGTCGGACTGTCTATAGAAAATTCAAATCGCGAACACGCTGCGGTCGCGTCGAATTAGTCTAGATGGAGCGAGAGCGAAAGTGAGAGAGAGACAGTGAGAGAGAGCAATAGAGAGAGAGAGAGAAAGAGAGAGAAAGAAAGAGGAGAGAGAGATAGGTATAGTTTTTCCACGTCGTCCTCCTACTGTCGTCAACCGCGTCACGTCTCGCTTAACGTGTCGCGGAAACTTTACAATCTGTGATATCCATAGGCATACTTTCTCAATCCCTTTAGCTTCGATTATTCCTGCAAAAATCACTCCCAAAACGCTTCTGATCTCCGAGCCATTCCCACCCTCTCCAAAATTGTTGCGCTCCACCCTCCCTCCACCCCCAATTTCCCGCAAATGATGAAGTGCGGTTCGAAAATGGAGCTCAGGAAATTGCGGGAAATCAACGGGAATCCCCGCAAAAAAAGGTGCTCTCGCCCTTTTGCCCCCTTTCTCCAGAAATTGTTTGCCATGGGCTGGAAAATGAATTTTGTTCAAGCCGTAAAGGGGATGGAAACCGAAGATTCCACCCGCTCGAGTAAATATTGTGGGTGGAGGGGGGGGGGGGGTGGATTTCTTTAAAAACCGGGGGCAAAAGGCCCTCGGGAGGGCCCATTGTTTGCCCAAATGTGTAGGTGGGCGGTGGAGTGTGCCGTAATAGGTAAAGTGATGTGATAATTTTGAAGGGGAAGTTGTTTTAGAGGACAATAGGGCGCTTGAAGCGGCAAATGACGCTATTGGTTAGAGAACGATATTCAAGGCTTCTAGAATTGTGTTGAGTCATTTTAAGGCTACTAGAAGCGAGCATAGGAAAACGACTACTAGGAAGTATTTAAAGGAACCGACAGGCCAGGACTGTGGATTTTTCTGTTTATGGCTCCCTTCTTTCTGACTTTCGATGTTTATGAATTTGCCCGTGAGTTTGCGTTTAAACGTGGGAACGCCACGTACTCATGCTCACGTACTCACGCTCACGTGCCCTAAACGATTTCGTTTAATTTTATGGCGTAACCGGTTCTTATTGCAAAACTGAGCATTACGCCAGGGAGCGCAAGAGCGAAAGAGAGGGAGAAGCGTGAGAGAGAGAGAGAGAGAGAGAGAGAGAGTGAGCGAGAGTGAGAGCAATAGTAAGCGAGCGAGAAAGGTAGAAGGACTTTCGAAGATAAAAATTAGGCTATCCAGCAGGATTACACAAGAATCTTGTGAACTCTTATTTTCAGGCCTCTCCATCTCCTCAGCTCCAGCCCAACGCTGGAAAACCGGCTCCCTAATTCTCAGCCGAGGTTTCAGGAAGTAACATATGATGTTTTTTCGATTTCCGATTACGTTTTTACTAATTAAAACTTGACTGTCGAATCTTGTTTTATTTGAAGCGTGTTTCCTCTCTCCCCTCCTCTCCCGATTCTTTCCACCACAGGGTCTGCTGTCCAAAAAATGAGCTTTTCGTATTATTTTCTTATTTTATTTGGTTTTCTTGCTATTCCCATAACATTAACACAATTATCGAATTTAAATTCTTAAGCCATATTTGATTTTTCAGATCCTTTCAAACTTTTCCCAATGACTTTCCATCTGCTCTTCGAGTTTGTTGAATAAAGATGATATTTCTCCTGTATTTATGTTGCAAGCTTTTGAAGTGCAGTTGATTGGCGTGAGTTGTGTGTGATGTGTCCTATTTTTATGTTTTTTTTTAGATTATTTATCTAGCAAGTTGTTGTTGCTGCTTTCCCAGTGGGACATTGATACCGTAGCCAGTGAAAATTAAACGATATCGGTTTGCTTTTGCAATGCGGCTGTTTTCAGGTTTTCGATCCTGGTTTTTTTATTATTTTACTATGTATTTGTAATAGTAACCGCATAAGGAAGCGTATATCTTAACAGAATGTCCTAGAAGACAAGCCCCTCTGCTGGTGTTCGTCTCATTAGGGAAATTTACGTCCCGCAGCACGTCCCGACCGCGTTTTTGCACCGCCCGAAAATGAACTACGGCCAGGGATGAGGAAAGGGGTTCGGTGCTATATTGCTTTCATATAGTAAATGTCATTTATAGTTTAAAGCTATTATGCCTTATTTATAATCGAAAAAACTATAGCGTTGTGGTTTGTATTTTTCGAATTCAAAGTTTCAAAATTAATTAATTAATTAAAAATACAGAATTTAGCAGTTCGCTAAACATGCAAAAAATAGGTCTAACTGGGGAAGCTAGCAGAAAATCTTTAGGGAACAGAAACAGAAAAAAACGCGAAAGTAGGGGCTTTTTATGGAAAAAGCCAGGTATTTTGGCATTGTGATTTTTGGACCTTATTCATTTGCTCCGGTTAGCAGGTTAATACAACAATTTTCCAACTTCATGGGCCATAGTTTTATAATTATTTACTAAACGCCCTTACATTCTAAGAAAAATAAGCATTGCTCCTCCTCGCGGGAGTTAATTAGCCGGTGGCAGGGCATTCCAGAATTAGTAGTCGTCAGAGGAGCACGGGCCGCTTAAAGAAACTCTTTCAGCAAGGCAAAGAAAATAGAATTAAGCCCAGGAGGAACTTTTTTTTTAATTGGTGCTGCGTAGTTCGGGACTCCAAAAGAGTATTATGGGGGTCCTAAAGGTCAACGAAACGGGGGGAATCCACTTCTGACTTTTCCTGGCACTCGGCAGATACCTTGTTGATGCCTATGGACCCGATTTTGTTACAAATCAGTCCAAAATTTTGGCGGACTTTTGAATATCACGTAGTTGTCGACACCTAGCCGTCGCAGGGGTCGATTCTAAGGCTTCCCGATCCCTATGAACCTCCAGAACTTCCTGAAATTCCGAGAATTAATTACCGGAGGTTAAAGGGATAGGGGCGGCATACGTCAGTCGATTACGCGCGGGAAAGAAAATGTCTCTGCGCCTCTCCCCTGGGCGCCCTCTCTCGCCGCTGCATCTGTTGAACCCCCCTCTGGGGGGTTCAACAGATACCGTCCTCATCTCTTTAAGTTAAGAATTATTAGTCACTTAAAGGGGCTCAGAAGGCAAAATTCGTGCACGCGGGGATTGAACCTACGGGTCAAAAACCAAAGGGGTCACTGCCGTGAGGTGCCAGAAAAGCGATCTGATTGCGAAAAAACGTCAAATGTTTGAGAAAAATCGAATTCTTTTTGGGGCAAAAACGACATTTTGAGTGCGCGGCAATTACATGTCGTATCTAAGGCACCCAATCTCTCGATCTCGGTGATTTTCTGGTCAATTTTCATAATTTAAAAGTCTGGAATGATCAAAATTCGTTGAGGATTCCAAAAATAGTATCAAAATTTTTAAATTCAAGCGTTTTCGCGTCGAAATAAAGGCAAACGATCATGCGGCGCGGTCGCGTTGCGACTGCATCTGGCTATTTGCCAGGAATCACAGCAGGGGGCCGTGGACCAGATTTCGGAGCCCCTTTAATAAGTAACGGTGGAATTGAAATTATACATTGCTGCCTCAAAATGTCGTGAAATTAACGAATTCTAGCGCCCTATTTTGGGTGAGTGGGTGTGAATTTGGGAGGAAGCTGCCCTCTATTAATATCGAGGTCACGCCCGCCATAATCATCGTTTTTCTGTGTTCCGAATCCGGAGTAGCCAAAATCCAATGGAACAAAGATTGCACTGGCATAAAGCCAGAATGACGAAAATATGCCGTTTGCTGTGGGCCATTGACCTTTCCATATGATAAATTAAAGAGACTTGCAAGTGTGGAATCTATTACTCAAATTGAAAAACCTTTTTAACGATACTTAGCTTCCAAATGCAACTACTGCGACGTCAACGAGGTCTTCTGAGGCTTCCGAATCGGAAGATTCGACGTGTCTCTTCACTTCGGAAGGAGAGAAAACGAGAGGAATCGAGACACGAGGACGACAATTCCGGGTGAGTCGACTTTACGGTAGCTTGGAGCCTTGTAAATTTTCATAATTTGTCCGTGGTATCGCGGAAAAGCTGTTGGACTAACGAACTAGCTAGGCATATAGATTTCTTAGCGACACTGAGAAGCCCGCGAAAAGGGACGCATCGGGGTGCGTATGGCGTCGCGTATCGCGCTGGGAAGCGCAATACGTATCTCGTTGCTTATGCCATCACATTGTGCATGTAGTCCCTAGTTTTGCCTTTGTGGTCCCTTTGGGACATACTTTCAACTTGTTCTGGTGTTCTAGGGATCAGAGACCATGAAGAACTAACTAGAAGCGACTACGATTAACCACTACGCCACACTCCGCTCGTACATCAATGCGTAGTAGACCTTATAATTAGCAAAAGACAGACGCCAGCAAGGAATGCAGCCGAGTGTGGGGAAACAAGAGGGTAGCAGCTGCAATTTTCCAAAAGAATGCGCAAGCAGGAGGGCAGGGCATGACGGATATAGCGTTTTATTCCCATAAAATATTAGCAGTGCAACGTAAAATAGACATTTTGATGATTTGGGTGTGGGTGGACAGGTGAAAACGTGGTTTCGATGAAAATCGGAAGCGTACATTTGCGAAACTACGAAGTAGGCTGTCAATCTAGCATACACTGTCTTCAAGGCGCAGACAAGGCATGTAACGTTGGTAAGAATAATCCCTAGGTTGTCAAACCCAATTTGGAAGAATTAAAGTGGCGAATTTTGCATTACTGTTAATTTTGTTGGTTAAGGATTCCTTCGAGGCTATTTCCGCCTGCTAAAGGCAACGCGCACGGGGTTTTTTGTTGAGTAATGGGTTAAGCTCTATTCGGCTTGAGCGAGCAGCGCTCCCGTCACCTAACGCCGTTTTCACGAAGGTCGTAAGTCGTACGTAAGTCCTCCTAGATATGAAGAAAGAGCTGAAGAACATGGGAATGAGTGGAGACTTGACAGTTGAAAGCTACGGCTTCCTATTGAGGCATCAATTGTCGCTTCGTTGACCTCGAACAGCCCCTTCAGCAGCCGGTCTGCTTTATCTGACGGGGGTGCGTTTCGTGGAGTCGGGCAACGCGTCCGAATGCACTGCGGAAGCGGTGCCGATCGGGTCGCGTCGAAGGGACGATCTGTCTCTTTCAATCTCGGTTAACGGGGAACGGTTTTCCAGATTTCCTGCGGCGACACGCCTGTAATTCATCACACGATGTAAACGCTCTATCGCGAGCTGCGTTGCGTGTTGCGTACACTACTACATCCACAGGGATCCTACGAAGCCCCACAAATCCATAGATAACTCCGTAGCCTCAAAAAGTCGGCTGGGGCCGTGGATGGCCACGGAACGGACCTCAAAGTGTCAATCCGTATCCAATGACCCATACTGGCAATTTTCTCGTCTTGATATATTCCCCCAGCTAGTTTGGCCGAACGTCAATGAAGTGTACTCTCAAAAACGTTTATCCTAGTCTTTTCTTGATACAAAACACCAGCTCGCACGTAAATATGCAAACTCCCAAACCCGTTTACCTTTTTCATCTTCTCCCAAAGTTGACATCACTTTCCAAAACATATTCCCATATTCCGCCCGTTTCCACTAGGCGGCTATTCCAAGCCAAGGGGAGGCGGGTCCGCCGGCTTGTGGGTGGAGCCTGGCGGGCCCTTGGCCCCACCAGGGCTTAAGCCCCAACTCCCCCTGGCCGCTTCACAAGTATCGGGATCCCCGTGTCCGTCCACCCCCGACGACCGTCCCCTCCCTATAAATTTTTTCTAAATTTATTCCCCACCCCTACCCCTAAAAATGCTGCAAATCCGAATTCTGCTCGTGGCCCTGATCGTCGCGTTGTTGGGTTGCAGCGTCATGGCGCAATCACTGTGAGTTTTTAAAGGGTGTGGGGGCAGTTTGAACCGCTGGATTTGAACTTGTTGATCCATCTGTGTAGACTCGGTCTAAAATGATGTCATTTATAGATGGAAGGTTATGAATGCATAGATGAATCTTTTAGCTAGTAAGTACCAGCTTGGCACGGGGCCAAACAGCAATCGGATCTATTATTATTCAAGAGTAGAAACTCAGGAAATTTTGATGTTGTAGTGGACGCTGTTGAGCTTGGCCCTCTGCCAAAACCTTGTAAAACTGCCTTACATGCTCCTCTAAGGCACGGACGCTACCGATATTTTTAAAGGCACGCTGAAGGCACTTATAGCTAATTTTTATGGCCACAAGTTCTCTATTTGTTTTTCCCGGGCGGACGTAAAGTAACGGATAGAACCTTAGTACGGAAAAGAAGCATCGAGCACGTTGCGTGTCGCGGATTTTCCCGAAAGGCAACAAAATTCTTAGTCATGCCTTGCCTACCCCGTCAAATCTAGCGTGCTGCTGATGAATAGTTCTTGATCTCACTTTTTCCAGTGCACCATCGCTTTAAAACGCTACCGGAAAATTCAAGGTATCCTATCGTCTTAACAAATTTATTCTATAAAGGCCTCGCGGTCCAACGAGGCTTTAAATCCGATTTTCTAGCATTTTTTTTGCGGAATTTTTTTTGGTGCAGCTCATATAACACACTTCTTTAGACATCTGCTTAGTCATTGTATCTTTATAATACTTTTCCGCTCTCTTTCGATCCCCCAAAACACTCCCTACACAACCCGTTTTGGTCCATTGGCTACGGGGAGAAACAATTTCCAGGGCAGTAGGGGGCGGAAAGTTCCCGGTTGAACCACCGGAGATGGGCCCCCAGTCCGGTCGGTCGGGGCCAAAATGAATGTAATTAGCGAGCTTTGGCCTCGGGTGGAGGGCACAAACCCCCCTGGAAAAAGTTGAAATTGCCCTGAAAATGGGCTCGAAAACATTACTATAATGGCCCAGATATGGTTCGATTAAAGGGGGAAGGAAGGTCGGGGATTGCTTTTTAAGAACCATTATTGCGCGTAAGGTATCAACTTAAGGCAATTTTTAAGGTATTGAAGGCGCGGTTCTCTACGGCTGAATAGCGTGCGTGTTGCGTGTCTCGGGTGTTGGGTTGCGTCGCCTGTCTCTCTCACTATTTTCCATTCCCTCTCTCTCTGTGTCTCTCTCTCTGTCTCTCTCACTCTCTTGCTCTCGGTCGCTGCAAAATCCAAAATAGAGATGGTGAAAAATCCCTATCGATGTCATCTCATTCCCAAACAATGAATCGATGAAATTTTACCTTCTAAGTTCCGTTAATTCTCAAACTACGACCGATTCCAGACTATACCCACACCCGGAAATGCCCGCGCTCCCGAATTAATAGCGTTCACATGCTCTTTTTTCCATACCTTCAGCCGCTGACGTCTTCCAGTTACCCGTCTCCTGACAACCTGTCAATAACTCTAAATTTTTAGTACTTTTTTGGTATCTTTCTTGGATCTTGGCTACTTTTTGGCTTTTTGACATTCCTTGGCCTTTCCCATTCCCTGCCCTGGCCTGTCCACGATCCCATTTTGCCGGGGGGACAAATGCGACTACGCCAATGACTAATGGACACCCCCGTTGCGTTTCGGAACGCCGAAGAGAATTTCTTTGTTTCGGATTAGAGGATGCTAATTTTTGGGGGTTGCGGCGGCTGGAAATAATAAAAAAAACGGAGAAAAAATTTGCGTGATTTATTGAGCTTTTGCGCTGCTTTCGAGTTTGGCTTTGGTACTTTCTGCGGCTTGAAAATAGCAAACGGCATTTATTTTGTATCATTTATTCTATTACTTTAAGTTTTTTTATTTCAGGCAATTTTTAAAAGCCATTTTTGTAGATTTTATCTCAGCCTCTCTTCCGTATATTTCAATTTATGTCTGGTATCCGCTTGTATTTGAAAACACCAAAATGCCGACAGTCAAAATCGCGACAGCGCAAAATGCCGACAGCCATAATTCCGACAGAAAAAATGCCGAGAGCCCAAAATGCCCACAGGCCAGAATGCCGATGATCATAATCACATGCTAAATGGCTTTTTTTAAGCTTTTTTGATGCTTGTAGGCCGGCTGATTTCCGATGCTTTTTACTCCCGACTCGACATAATCCACTTTTCGGAATTGTCATTTTATGCTAATTCTCCGCCAAACTCTAATCAAATTGATCACTTCACCACATTCCGATAATGAACTTTGGCGCGCGCACCGCGCCGACGCACTTTTTGCTACGCCGCCAAAAATGTAAAATGAGGCGCGAAATTGGTCGGCCGGTTCTCCCCGGGAAACTGGCGCCAAATTCGGCCGTCTGAAGCTTGGGGTGTTTCCGGGTTGTTTCTCTCGGATGGCGTAGTGTTCCGGAGAACGCCGCACGAGCGATAAAAACGACTGTTCTCGGATGCTAATGCCCGTTAGGTCCGGGCAATTGAAAATTCAACGTTTTTGTTTTGATAGATGCAGCGTGGAATTTGGAATTTGGAAGACTAGAGCGTGGCCATTAGAAATCAACAATCGGCGAGGGTTTAACATATTTTAAGAAATCCGCTAGGTGTCTGCAAACTTATTCTGTGCTTTAGCTAGCCCCACAAACTATGTAAATACCTCAGCTTCATACTTGTTGAGTTTTCGTAGTCTATCCCCAAACCCAACTCTGATATTCATAGAATCCATAGGCCAGCGGAACGAGGGTGGTCAAGCTGAAAATTCTGTGGTAGAATAGCTCCATGGCGTAGTAATGGTATCAGGATAGAGAGTACGGACTTCAACACTTCAATTTCTATAAAATTACAAGCCATAAGAAGTCTCCTACGCCCAACTACGCGCGGAAAATCCTCTAAGTTCGGATTCAGGAAGAAAAACAGAACCTGGGTCTTAAGAATCGCGAAACCTTATCCCAGATACGCAATAATGCGTCCAATTTAATCAATCCCATTTTTCAGCGACGAGGCCGAGGAGTTCATTCGGGAAATGAGAGCGCCCAGCCCGAAATTCATCCGATTCGGCAGGGCCGGCCAAAAGTTCATCCGGTTCGGGAGGAGTGGGGCAAACACTTGGGTGAGCTTCGAGCATTTTTTGGCGTTTTTGGGGCCGGAAAATCGGAATTGAAAGACAGCAAAAATGTGTTACGCTATGTAAGGTGTGCATAAATTCGTGGACATACGTATCGTAGCGTACTATGACGAGTATAGGTGTACTCCGTAACCACGATACCTCCAAGAAAAATTAATATGATCTGTGCCCTAGAAAAACTAAGCTTAACAAGGCTTTAACTTACCGTAGTGTGGCGCACATTAATGACTATGGATTTATTTCGAAAGCATAAGTTCTAGAGTACGTTCCACTTCCTCGTACTACCTGGCACGACGGTGTATTTCGTAGCCTTGGAGCCTAAGATTTGCAGTTTTGCTCCATTCAGATCTCTCGCGGCATTGTAGCGTAGGGTAGCGTCGCATTCATCGGGATACTTCGCCAAATTCATCCCCTTGGCTGAGGACTCATAAATCCATAGGCCTTCCCTGAAAAGCATCGTAGCGTAGCGTACTGTAGCGCTAAGAAGTTTATGAAACCGGTCGTCCGTGCCTCTGCTCTCCATATCCACTTAATTTCGGCCGTAACCCAGACAAGCGATCCCCCTCCACGTCACCAAGCAGCTTTAATTTTGCGCACTTTGTTTTCCGGGTTCAGTCCTTCAATTCCCCTCTCATCTCGATCCTCATCCAAATACCAAAAAATTTCCTCTCCCCCTCTTGGTCGGGCTCAAATTCCTCGTTTCCACTGCCAGCAGCGCGTAAAGTGGCTTGATGGAGAGGCAGAGGAGAGCCATTTTGAGCAAAAGGTCCTTTGAGAAGCCCTTGGCAGGCTTGGCTCTAAAATGCACCCATCTCACGTGAGAAGCCGCAATGAGTCCCTGGAGGACTCGGTGGCCTTATTCCGCCTCCTTCAATTTCAACTAGAGAAAATGATCTGGAGGGGTGGTGGCACAGCGATATTTGGCATATCGAAACCACAAGGAGGGATATGGGAATTTTGATATGTTGTACTAGAGGCTTGCAAATGTACTGAAACGGAAAAATGAGTTGGAAACATACTGAAAATCGTTTTTTTGGATCTTGGGACTCCGCAAACACCACAAAAACCTCGCTCTCCCTATCTCTCTCGCACTCACTCTCTCGCTTTCTCTTTCTCTTTCCCTCCCTCCCTCCCTCCCGCACTCGCGCTCTCGCTCTCTCTCTCTCTCTCTCTCTCTCTCTCTCTGTCTATCTCGCTCTCTCTCTCTCTTTCGCTCTCTCTCACTCGCTTTTGCCCTCATAGAACCTTCAACAGCAAAACCAACCATTTTCCATTTTTCTGACTATCCTAGAAGGTTGCAAGCTTTGATCCCCAACCTATCATACACTTTAGCTACAGTATACCTGGCCGAAATGCTAGTGCTATTATCATCAACGCAGTCATTCAAAACACTTTGACCCGCTTGACATTTCCGGACCCAGCCAGAGCCTGTTTTCCTCCACCAAAATTCAATTATTTTTCTCGTCAGCGTTTCGACGACTTGCGAAAGTTGATTACAGTAGTCAGAGCAAAGTCGGTTGATTGCATTTTCGGGGAGAGAAATTGAACGGAGTGTTCGGCTATAATTACTTAATGGCTCTAGAAGCATCAAACGCGAAAATTATGTGTTTTTTTTATGATCTTTAGGATCAGAGATCTTATCCCTTAGGCGAGCAGAACCATTATGATCTCAAAAATGCCAATTATCCGTTAAATTTGGGCAATTCAAAATTATGACACCTCAGCTTTGGCCTGACGCCAACACCCAAACACCATCTTTTCAAAGTCGCACAGCAATTTTTCCTCAATTTAACCCGAGAAGTGTAATTTAATTTTTTGGCCTTGTGCATCATTTCTCTGTCGTCGCTAGCATTGGACCTCGCGGATCGGCTGGACCAATTAAAACACTGGAAACGGAGAGCGAAGAGAGCTCAGGGCGTTTCATCTACGAATCCAAAGACCGGGGGGCGGAGCAATTTTTGAGGGGTAAATATATGATGACAGAGGTTAAAAAAAGCTTTTATGATAAGATTCTCGAGCGCTACAACAATTTTGGTCTTTCTGGATGCATTTTGACGAAGGTGTTTCATGACATAAGTTAGCCCTGGACTTGATTCGGAACCTTGCAAAATTCTCCTTCTGACCTTGCTGACGATAAGGCTATTGGGTCAGTTTTCCTTGAGCGTGTGTAGGTGGTAGACTTGCCTCCACTACGTACGTGAAATTAGACCCTCAATCTTGAGCCAGTTTCACAAATAAAATGACGATTTTACGCGGAAGCACGAGGGCCCTCCACCCCCGCAGCGCTTGACCCGGTCGGATCCGGTTTCCTAAAAGCGGCTATCTACTACGTTTCGTTGAGAAAATGCTAAATTGTGGCAGCGTACTTTGGTTCGGGAACTGCAAATTGAGGGAGCGAGAGAGAGAGAGAGAGAGAGAGAGAGAGAGAGAGTGAGAGAGTGAGAGAGAGAGGAACCTACGCGCCACATGCACGTAGAGTAGGGCTTTAGATTAGATAACGTAGGGCTTTAGATCTTCAATTTGGATTTTTTGAAACGTAAAGCTTCCGCAGCGCTAATTTAAACCCACCGGACCATTAAATTCACTGAATTTCCCCAGCCTTTTAGGATTGAAAGCTAAAAAGCCGCAAAATCACAGTTGAATTTCGGCTTTGTTGAAAAAGAGCAAAAATTTGGTTTTCGTGATCTTTCTCCTGATCTTTACCTTGAGCCGGACTCTCACGAGTTCAAGCTCCTTTTTAGAGCTTACTCAGTCCTGAATTTACATAACCCGTCGTAAACCAAAGCCCAGGAGCCCCCACGGCGAGAAGCAGCCGTTAGCAAAACAAGAAATCCCCATCCCGGGCGTGAACAATCGAATGTCAGCGCGTTACCCTTTTTCCTCTCTTTCACTGTCTCTTTCTGTCTCTCGCTCTCTCCCTATGCCCCTCTCTATCTGTCTCTCCCTCACAGGCCTCCACCCGCCAGGGCCCAAAGGGGAAAATCAAATTTCGTGGGCCTGAATAGCGCATACATAGGTGCTCTTTGGAATCGCCGTGATATCACAGCGGCTTGGGGATTGGCCAAGGGAAGGAGTCCAGACTTAAAAACGGAGCAGGAAGTGGATCTCGAAGGGGTAAATCCTTTAAAAAGTCTGGTAATTCGAAAGGTGGAATGTGATCTCGTACAACCACCAAAATGCGTTGCTGTCACGCTCCCTTAAATCCCCATAAAAACCAGAAACAAGCCCCCTCCCGAACGCGCATAAAACAGTGCCCGATTCGCACCCCCGGGGGCAAAACGCCCACATCAACGGCAATGAATAATTTCGACGTCGCGGGACCCAATTCTGGGCGGCCCTTCCCACCGGAATGTCGCGTAGCCCGGCCCTCGATAAGCCCTGACTCGTGTGCTGCTCTCCCGGGTACTTTTGGCTGTTTGCGGGGGCAAAAAGTTGCGGCAGCTTTTGAGAGCACCGGAAGTTTGGAATTATTTGGGGGTGACGAAGGGGGTTGTTTGGAATTTGAAGGTGTTTTGAACGTCAATTGGATACGGAAATGGGGGTGGAGGCGGCTATCAAAAGGGCTTTAAAGGGGAGACCTGGCGCTTTTGAGCTACGCTTAATGGATAGGAAAGATGCTTTAAAACGCGAAATTAAGCTACGATATGCTGTGACCTAAGGCTTGCGACAATGTATTTGGGGCAGACGACGAGACCTAGCTTCAGGGAGAGGTCGAATTTCGCGTTTCGAGCCACCCTTGACGGCTACGAAATACACCTTGAAACGCTACAGTACGTGACGATACGCTGCGCCCTAAGTTTGGTAGCGATGTGTTTTGGAGCTACTCGTAGATGTCGATACCTAGCAGAGAGAAGGGTCGATTTCTGGCCTAATTTCTTTAAAACAATCGATACTAAATACTAAATCACTACGGTTCGCTAAAACTGAGTCCCACGAACGTCGCGCAACTGTCGATACCCAGTTGAAAGCAGGGGTCGATTTAGCGCTTCCCGGTCTCTTTAAAAGTTTGAGAGCAGTGATATAACGCCTCGCTCGAATCGAAAAACTATAATCCTTTTTCCAGGACCACTCAACCCTCGAAGAGCTCGACAACCTTGACGGTGGCGTGGAGAAGCGAGCCGGGCAGAAGTTCATCCGATTCGGTTAAACCATCAACATCAACCCGATCAGCCAGAATTCCATTGCCCCGCAACGAATGATACCGGTCTAAAACTCAAAAACTATTCCATTCCACTAGGACCGAGTCCCTAGAATCAGTGTCACCACATCGGCTATAGTAAGCCTTCGAAAATTCTTGAAAATTCCAGAATAATCTATTTACCTGACGCCCACAGTGTACTCCACTGAAAATTTTAACGTATTTGGAAAATCTGAAAATACCCCAGCCAGCTTATGTGCATAATAAATTGTTGTCGGTCGCTTGAAGACGCAAAAAGCATTGCAAAAAGCTAAACTACACCTAACAAAGGCAGAGATGCTATTGTTTTCAAGGCTTGTTTTTTGCAGCCAATGGGTGACGACGTGGAATATACTCAACTTCGGGATTCTGGGTTTGAAGTTCGTCTCATGAGCGGGATACATTTAAAGACACAATGACACTAAATAATCATTGAAGCCCGAGCATGTTTTTAAAGGGACTAAGAAGCTCCAAGATAGACCACTTCCGGAGACTAGGTGGCGACAGAGCACGCCACGCCAGAACCCGTAACACGCGAACATTTCCCACAATTTTTTTCTTTTTCCGACAAACATCAGGCGTATCAAGTTAAGCTTTTCAGAGTCATTTGACTCAACGCGTATCTGTCGGCGCCTAGTGGGATGCAACGGGTGGTTTTCGGGACTTCATTCTTGAAAGTCACTTATCCAGTAGTTCCAGTGTAGAACAAATCGCAGCTAAAGAAGGTGAAATTAAAGGGAGCGTGGCATGCACTGTACTTCGTTCCACCTGCCTTCAATTTCTCCGGGCCAGGTCGAGTGACCCTTAGAAAGAAGCAAAACCTGGGCATCGATCCTCCGATACCGGGCTACCACGAAAATCTCCATTTTTTGGAAGTGCTTATTTTGTGAAAATGTCAAAATCAGCGATCGTTTCCAGAATAAGCTTTTGGAATTGCATGCCTTCTTTAACGTCTCGCGGTTCGTAGTAAAGGTAGAATAATTTATTTAAGAGAATTTATTTTTAAGGTTTCGAACCGTTCCATCACGTCAGACCATATCAAGACCGTATTAAATACCATACATGCTGCTTAGATGCCAACAATCACATAGGGGAAGATTGTATAGGCTATGCGATATGAAAACGGGCTAGAAAGCTCTCTGTATTTCGGCAGACTACGGTAATCTACGCCGTAAAATACACTAGCAAGAAATTTCTAAGTCGCTCCAGCCGTCCCAACCCCTTTAAACGTACGGCAGTTCTGCCCCACGATGCCCGTTCTGACGTGAACCCCGTGATGTGCATTAGTGGTGTGTGTGTGTGTGTGTTTGTAAGTGGGGGGTGGGTGGGCAGTGGAGTGGCTGGAGTGGGTGTCATCCACTGACTGACTGCCCCTACAAGAGCACACCTTTTACGGGTCCCTCTCTCTCTGTATTTGGCCATTTGTTTGCCGTTACGACACGTCGACATAGACATCGACAGACAGACAGGCTGTCTTTATGTCCACTACACACAATCATAATACAATACAGGGGGGAGAAGCCGCTTGGAATCGGGCCAACGCTTCGCAACAAAAAAAAGGTGAAATTTGAGAAGCTGGAGGCAAGAATATGGATACAATAGAAATTTGGCCTTATTCTGGCTTTTGCTTTCTCTCTTACTCGCGCTCTCACTCTCTCTCTCTCTCTCTCTCTTTCTCTCTCTCTCTCTCCATTTCTCTCGCCCCAATTTCTCTGTCACTCTTTCTCTTTATCTCGCTCTCTCACGCTCTCTCATTCTGTATCTCTCTCTCTCCCTCTCTCTCGCTCTCTCTTCTGCCTTTCGCTGACTCACGGTTTTGCTCTGGAAAACCAAGTGCAAGAGAGCAAAACCGAGAGTCAGGGAAAGGCAGAAGAGAGAGAGAGAGAGAGAGAGAGAGAGAGAGAGAGAGAGCGCGCGAGAGAGAGATACAGAATGAGAGAGCGTGAGAGAGCGAGATAAAGAGAAAGAGTGACAGAGAAATTGGAGCGAGAGAGAGAGTGGCGATAAAAATTTTTACCATCACACAACAAAAACTAAACCTCTATTTTGCACAGCTAATCTCCAAATTTTGTGGCTCAATGATCGTCTACTACACTGCTCCTTTTGGGCCGGAAATGACCCTCGAATTCCCCAAAACGGCCCGTCCAACTACTGGAAAATTGGTGCCAATAACCCAATTTGGGCTGGGGGCCTTTGCAAATTGGAGCGTCTTGTAGTGATCGCTGAAAAAAGTCAGAAATTGCAAATTAGTCGTGTTCCAGGGGTTTTAAAAGCGTGCATGAGGGTTTCGGCACGATTTTCATAGTTACTCTAACTTTAGTGTCATTTAGAACATCCTCAGAGATCCGGAAAAATCGCAACATTCCTCTCATGCCGTACCATCCGGACATTCCATTAGATTCCGGCTGGATCGAACGCTTTTTGATGACCCATGCACCGGCGTCCGTTTGATCAGTGTCGTTGCTTGATATGATCCCCCGAAAAAACGGGGACGTCATCTGGGCCGTGTATCGCGTGGCGGCGTTGAACCGTGTGCCCCGCCCGATCCCATCATTGTTTGTTCATCTATCTGGCGACCGATAAACATACAGAACTTGTTGTTGAACGGGATGACCGCACCCTAGAAGGGCAGTGCCCTGGTAGACACTAGAATGAATCATCGTTTCGTGTCGAAATTTTGCTGTTGATACCGTACACCGCATAGGCAGGCAGGTGGCAAGATTAGGGCGGGCACTCGGAATACAATTTTTGAACACGGCGGCGGAACGTCCGTTCCAGCTAGTGTTCTGATAGAAAATAAGTTTGGAAAAAAGGCGCAGCAAAGTATAGGGGCGTTACACGAAATCCCATTACGCGCCTTGCTACTTAGTAGTAGTACTTACCTACCTACCTATAGACTTTCGAAAAGCAGCAAAAGCTGCTGAATTTTCGAGCGTGGACGAACGCTTCCTGAAAATCGAGCAAATTCGTAGGCCAAAGGCTGGAAAAGAAATGCTGGCTAGAAATTCTATCGCTCACCCTTTAAAAGAAACGTATGACATTTCGTTAAAGCTAATGTTAAATTCATTGAAATATAGATATATTTTTCTTCTTTCTCGCAAATTTATTGCATCACTAAACTTTATAAATTTCTGGCACTATAGCTTTCAATGCTAAACTGAGGATCCTGAGCAAGTAAGCGGTATCCTACATCTATTGCAAATGGTTTCAAATTCGGCATTGTAGATCGGATCCTTATCGCGATCCGATGATCTTTCAAAGTCCAGTCCAACGATTATAGTTTCTCCATGTTGCAAGACACAATCGCTAATCCCTAATGGAATGCCTCCGATACCAGGGTTTGCTGGGCGATCCGCTGCAAAAAAAGTCGTGTTAGTCAACCCCCCAGCGAGGGGTGCACGCGACGAGAGAGAGGGTGAGAGAGTGAAGAGAGCGGGAGAGTGAAGAGAGGGTGAGAGAGTGAGAGAGGGACAGAGGCAGACAGAGTACTGTGGCCAGTGGCCCGATGCCGTTGGTTGGGACCGGCCCGGGGTCCCACAGGTGCCCGCCCTGACAAAATGGCTACAAAAGGGTGATGGTGGACATGGGACGGTCCCTATTCTGTGCCATCACCCCCTCCCAAACGCCTCCTTCAACCACCGCCCGGCCAACATGCTCGGCACGGCTGCTGCCGCTTTCCTGGTTTTAGGTGAATTTTCTGTTGCTTGTAGATTTTGAAAAATTTTATTTTTTCTTTTGCTATATTTTTAATTGTTTAAGATTATGAAAATTCCTTTTTGCTGTTTTTTTAAGAAAAGACATAAAATTGTTTCGACATTTTTTGCTTTTTATTTTTCTTATGTGGCTATAGTTTCCTAAATTTTCTCCGCTAGCTTGCCTCAAGAAAAAAGTTGCTTTAAATAATTTGTATAAATTAGACCCAACTAATAACAGCCATGGAAATAAAATAATTTCAACATTCTAAACATTACTTCTAAAATACAAAATTAAAGAAAATAAGATCAAGAAAAAGGAAAGGAATGCTAAAAAGGAAAAATGAAAAATGCTTAAAAATCGAAGGGATCTAAATTTTATTAAAAATACGAAGGTATCTTAAACCTTAAAGAAACCTATAGACTTAAACCTTACTAAATTCTCTAAAACATTTTTTAGCCTCTACCACCTCCGCCTTCCTCCCCTTCAATGATGTCCCCATGGAGGCTTGGAATGAGGCTCAACTCTCCCAAGTCCTGCCCCCCGCCCACCCCGAACTCGTTGCAGCCATGCGCGATGCCGAGAGCAAAACCAGGCATGTCTCGAAGCACGATTCCGGGTGGTAATTCGGGCACGGGGAATATCAATTTGCATCGGTATTTCACCCCTGAGGAAAGGTACTACAGATACGGTCGCATCAAAATCACCACCCTCATCAATGTGACCACACCTACGCCGCCGTGCTGTGCTGATACGATATCGTCGATTGCTTGCCGGAGATTGTATAGCCACAATCCGGCTCGGTTCCAGCAGAGGTATTCTAGATTATTATGCATTAATAGACGCGAATTTTTGGCCTAAAAGAATCGAAATTAAAATTCTACGGATCCGATCGCTTTTTTTAAAACGGCCTTAGCATTATTTTTACTGCGCTGCAAAGTCTCCAAAATCACGACAAACCCTGAATTATAATATATCATAGTATACATAAAGTAACCTCGCTAAAACGTGCCCATTTTTGCTCCCTCGACTTAATTTTTACCTCCTTTTGGGCCTTTTTTTCCATAATGGTGTCTGCTAACTTACCTCACGTCGTGGCTTTCCTGGTCCTGTGGGGAAGTTTGGCTGCGTTTCTTCACTAATTTCTGCTACGTTTTTTGGATGATGGTTTGGTATCGATACCTCACCTCCAGAAGCATAGACAAGTGGCTCCCTAAGCGTCTCTGCTAGCATGCCTGCTCTGGGATCTTCCTAAATGACCCCTGCAGCGTTTTGTACCTGATACCTAGTGAATCAAACACGATGCGCGCAAAATCGGATAGGGAAAATGAATCTCTCACTAATGGTCTCTGCTAGCTTGGTCTTTATGGAATTTTCTTAAAGGATCTTTGCAATTTGAAGAACGTTTAATTTGCTTCTGATTCACCAAATTTCCGCTATATCCCAAAATTTTCAGATGCGAGTACGACGCCGATTTCTCGCTGATCCAGTGCTGCAACACTTGCGGACTCGAGGGGGCTGATACCCGTTATGAGAAATTCTTCGACAAGGTAGGAGAATGAGCTGCTGCTCCAAAAAACTGCAATTTCCAGTACCAATCCTCGCAGCAGTGCTACGACAGACACAGCGTCGACTTCTGCATGCGCTTCTTGAACAAGGTAGGATCTAGTTATTGGTAGTTACGGTATATCTGGAGGTTCATTGCTTTTAAAGGAATGGGAAGACATATTTCCATTGCGGTAGCTGGGTATCGACAGCTACACTACGCACCAAAAGACTCGTAGTAGCGCAACGAAATTTGCTCCAACGAAACTGGGAGCTAGAAAACGCGCCTTAACATGTCATTTTGAGCCTAGCCTAGCTAGCCTAGTTGATTCAAGGGTGGATTCCGAAGCTTTACGGTGCTTTTAGATCAGCTTTTTCCGGGATTTTACTACCGTAATCCTTTCCATTTTCCAGGCCGACGTCTGGGGCCAGTCGAGCTGGTCGTGCGACGGCTCGTTCGCCACCCTCGCCTTCAGAATTTGCCGTAGAACTTGTGGATTCTGCAAGGCCGACCTCTACCGTACCAACGGGGGCAAATACCAAGTGACTCCATGTGGAAGGGCGCCAAAGGTTACCGCGGAAATCATCTATTAAATTTCGAGAACTCGGTTTTTTACCCTTAAAACATGGTAAGCTACTGTACCATACCCTAATCGCAATTTTTGACGCTAAAAAAATACAGTAAAAGATTTTTGGAACCTGAAAAATGCTTAGAAAATCGTAGTAATGTGGTATTAATATGTAGTTCCCCATCCGGTCTTTCATATATTTGTCATTTTTTTCCTTTTTGCATACCTTTTTTGCGCTAGATTTAGGCTCCTCCACCTTTCTTTTCTCTTCTTTTTAAGTCCTTTTTTCCAGGAAATGTGATTGCCTTCAAAAACTAGATCTCCGGGTTTTTGAAGACATTCCATAACGTAGCTTTTGACCAGCGTGAACAACCCCTTCCGAATTGCCCACTCCAAAAAACGATCCCCGCCCCTCGCTTGCCGGTATTATCTTAAGTTATTTATTTATTTATTCGACGCATTGACTTTTATTAATTATTTATATGGTTTTTTGAATGCGAATAAATGGTTTTGATATCATAGAAAAAATTAAAACACTGTAAACAGATTAAGAAGAATATAAATGAAAAACTAGGAGTTAGTATTTTTACAATATTTTGTATGTAAATCTGCCTGCAATCTAACACTATTACATACTACTACGTTTCTAATACCTTCCCATCCGCCCTTTTTCGCCTCGGCTTCACGGAGTAAGCATCGATTTCGTCGTCTCGACTCTCTCGGTTTTCCATACACCCTTTTCTCAATTTCTTGGGGCCCTGGTGGCCCTCAAGGGCTCCCCGGGCCCCTAGAAATGGCCATTTACCCCCGGTTTATTTGTTTTCCTGGTTAGCGCATTGCGTAGGCTAAGCTAATTTGCATAAACAAATAGAATTCCCGGAAAATGCATGAAACCTGGGTTAGAAATCCTCATTTTCTCGCCCCCGTTCGGTTTCAACCAGATAAAAAGTGAGAATTTACAAAATTGCGCCATAAAATTTTGCTTTTTTATTTTTAGGGTGTCCTCCAGATACCTATTTATTGTACGATATTTAAAAACTGGTTTTTCAGTAGTTTTTGTGGTAAAAATGTTTTTTTCTGACGATCCAACCCTTATAAATCGCCGAGAACTGTTCCGTAAGCTGTTTTCTCTGTAGTTTCGGCGGATTCCAATTTCCATGGCGTAACAGGTCCCGTAACACTCCTTATTAACGGTCTGGTATGACTTTCGAGAGCCATTCCTACCCCACAGCATCCCATAAAAAGACACGTATCCAGGCTGGTTGCCATGTTTGTGCATTGTTGACAAGTCGATCCAACCGAGTGCCCCCGAGCCAGCTATCCGGCTTCTCCACCCCCCCACTCTTCAAAAAAGCCAATATCTTGCCCGCTTGGTGAGCAGCTTCCGTTTGGACATCGGCTCTCATAATTTGTGGGAGCGTGGCAGAAATGGTTATAGAAAAAGGGGGACCGTTTAATGGGTGCTTAGGCAGGCTTAGCCTTAGGTTTAGCTTTAGCCTAGGCTTGGCTTTGGCTTGGCTTTGGTTTGGCTTAGGCTTAGGATTAGCTGAGCCAAGCCGAGGCTGAGCTTAGCCTTGGCTTAGGCTTGGCTTAGGCATGGCTTAGGCATGGCTTAGGCATGGCTTAGGCATGGCTTAGGCATGGCTTAGGCATGGCTTAGGCATGGCTTAGGCTTAGAAATGCCTGCTAACGAGGTCAAGCTTTCCAAGGGTTTTTTGCAAGATTGATTCAAGCTATTTCGGCAACACCTGACACCAAATCCCGTGCCCAGCGAACAGCGCACATCCTGATGCAATTTTTGCGCTGACGAAATTGCCTGTCAGCCGTGTGTAAATTTCCGCGCCAATACCCATTGTTTTGTGCGTTTCGCGCCCCGGCTGCACAAATTGGTCGATCCCGATTGGCCCCATGCCAAAAAATCACTTGCATGTTATAGTTTTCGGTCCTATCGGCTCATGCTATAGATTCAGCTCTAGATTGACGCCATTAAAATTCAGAAAGAGTTTCACGAGTCGCCAGTGAAAATTTTGCGCATTAATCCGGATTTCCTGCCCGGGCCAGGGGCATCTTTGCCTAACTTGGATATCCCTGGACCATTTAAAAAGCTTGTGTAATACTAATTCCGTCCATAAGCTAACAACTACTGCGCTACATACGCGAAAATACGCGCTAAATGTCTAGAAATGTGTTTGAAGAGGCAAAATCCCTGAAAATAATGTGTCATTAGGGGCTACACGTAACTGTCCAGACCTAGGGGCAAGGGGTTGCTTTTATCGTTTTTTTTAATCCCTTTACAGCCAATTTCGTGCCTGAAAAGTAATTTTCGTGGGAATTTTTCATTTTTCCTCCAAAGCACGATTTTCGAACCATGTGTCCTGCCCCGTTTTCACCCTCACTCCACGACGCTCCAAATGCCATCCCCGGTCACTCAAGCCCGAGAGTGTTCTTATTGACGCAAATCCCACGCCACACCAAAACCCAGCAAAGTTTATTCTCTGCGCACCTCACCCACCACCTGGGCGTCATTTGTTGTGTTGTGTGTATTTTTCTCTACTGCCGATCGGCTCATCCCCGGCCGCCCGGAACTCAACCCAAATGACAGACAGGGAGAGAGAGAGAGAGAGAGCGAGAGAGAGAGAGAGAGAGAGAGAGAGAGAGAGAGAGTGACGAGCCTCTCTGGCAAAAAAGCATGAGCTGGGGTGGGATCCGGCTGGCCCTTCGGCCCCAGAGCGAGTTGTAATGCACCTCGGTCTGTTTGTGTGTCCATTTTCCAACGGGAAGTTGGCCTCTAAAATTTAATGGCGATCATATAAGATCTATATTTAATGCTACAAAACTTTTCTTGGATGTTAATACATGATTTTTCAAGTATGGACGCGAACTTGCGACATTTTTGTCAGTACTGGGGATTTGACCTGAGCTTACATCCTTTTCCGCAAAATGCATCGCTTTTCGACTTCCGGTCGGCGAGAAACCCACTAAAAAGTTTGTTGAGGGCGATAACCCACCGAAATCGCCGCAATTCCTCAAATTGGGTGCAAAATTAGCCTTCTGCAGTACGGTATCACTTCCGTTCCTTAAAAACTGTATCCGGGTCAATTTTTCTGTTTTTTTTTGTACAAATAACTTCCCTGTTTACCTCAAAACCGCAGTGGAAACTTCGCTATTTTCCAAATTCATAGTCCAAAACCACTATAATTTTGTAGTTCAATTTTCATCTTTCAAACACAGGTTTGGCTGAATTATCTATTTTTGTCTACGTTTCTCCATCTCATTTCCAACCGGTGACGTCAAAACCACAGTTGCTTTTCAGATTTTGCGAATTGACAACTTTTGTAACTTCATAGCTTTTGATCTGCCGGTTTTAAATTTTCTTCTTTCTTAATTTAGTTGAAGTGTCATAGCAATCTTTATATCGCGTAATGGTCCGTCATACTCCTTCTTGTGTAAATAAACTTATCACTCTCCATCTCAACCCCCCCCCCATTCTGTTCTCTGCTTTTGTTTACAAGTTTTGCGGCATAGGCGGCCTCTTTTGGAAATGATCACGTAGTTGGGGCGGGTTCTTTTGCTAGACACCGCTCTGTGCTCTGATTTTTTGTACATTTTCTTTATGCAAAGAGGCTTAGGCCGTACTTTTATGTCTGGAAAATACCTCAAAACAACTCTAAAAATCATTTAAACGTTTCAAGGCTGTTTTTACGCATTTTCAACCTATTTCCCGACCCTCAGCAATTTCTTTTAAATTTCTGCCGCTAATTTTTTCATACGCTTAATTCATACAAAGTTAATCAAAGCAAATTGAATTTTGAAATCACCATAAAAAATATATTTTAGATACATTAAAGCATTTTTGTAAAGTAGGGACATTTTAAAAACGCTGATGAGCAGAATACAAAACTTTGCAACTTTAAAATGCCTAATTTGCATATGCTTAATTTTATTGCATTAATTTGCATTTTCCGGAAAGATTCTGCTCAATTCAGTGCTCGCCCCGCCCATTTCTCCCCTCACCATCCACAACCTTTGCTTTCTCCTCGACTTTGCTGGCCATTCGAAGTTGCCAGCCTCTTCCAAATTTGAATACAGAATGTTTTCAGCTCAACAATGGCCCCGGCAGTCGCTGTACAACGGAAGCAGATCGACTTGGCGCCGTTGAAGAACGCCAAGGTGCCGATCATCTTCATCGTCGGTACGGGATTTCGCTTGAATTTTCGATGCTGGAACTTTGGTGTCACGGTTCTTTTTATGAACGCCAAAAATCATCTTGATGATTTATGCTTGGTTGTGGATTGCGACTTGACCGCGGCGCAACCCCGCAACGCGCAACGCGTGGACTGGGCCTCCCGAAAAGCGTCGCAATGCGCTACGTCGTCATATGAAGGCGGGCGCGTGAGCGTCGCGTCTCGCGGGCGCCAACCAAATCCACCTAAATCTTTGCGTGTCCAGCCAAAGCCGCGTTTTTCGAATTCCTTGAACTCGAACCCGAAGCCCTTCGTACTCCTTGAAGGCATCGCGGGTGTGTTACGCGCCTTGCCACAATTTAACTGCGTCGTTACGCTACTTCACAAAAAGGTAAGAGTCTAGAAACCCCCCCAGCCGGCACCAACTTTTGTATCTCGGCCCCCCCCCTTTGTGCTAGCGAGCTCTAAAGTATACCAAAATGTTCGCCGTAGGCTAATTAGTAAGACTACATCGCAGTTCCGTCGAAAAAAGTAGCGAAAAATAAAAATAAGGAAGGTAGAAAAGTTGAAAAGTCGGCTGGGGGGGGGGGGCTTCCTACAGGGTGAGGCATATATATGGCAACACTTTCCCGGGTCTCTCAAAAAATTAAGAAAGCTGGCTGGGTTTCAATAATATGCTGAGATATGGCCACAGATGTCCTGTAAGCACTCTTAAAATATTGGAACGCAGCAACCGTATAAACTTTTGTCCGGAAGGAAAAACTGGGCGTCGTAAGGGTGGCGCTGGCACGGAACCCCTTGGAAGCCAATTTCAGCATGGTTCGGAAACATCGTTTTGGGTACGAATGACCCCTAAAAATATGTGTACTACCTAGTAGTGACAGATAAAGGTAATGAAAACAATTCATTTCCTTTAAGTAGGCAGAAATTTCAGAACTATTTTCGGCTGGCCCCAAAAATCATAGTAAAAAAGTAAAATTGCCTTTTTTTTAACTTTACGCGTTGAATTGCTTGGTTTCAACGCCCGGAATTGGTTCAATCCAATGCCTAAGATGTAAAAAATTGCTTAAATAAAACAATATAATTGGCAGGCATTTTATACTTAATTTTTAGTGATCAACGTAAGAGTGGTAAGGGGTGGGTAAGCGCGGGTTTTTTGAATATAGCAAAATTTCCTAGGCTGTTTCCGACTAAAAGACTTATGGTAAAAATAAATAAGACCAAACTAAACGAAAATACAAAAAACCCTGGAGCAGAGCTACCAATATCCGGGGTTCTAGGAGCAGCGTGCCGACACCCCGCTTTTTCGACAAAGGCGCTAAACTTCCCGTTACTATAAATTCGAAACTAAAAATTTTGCAACCGTTTTCATTTGTCTCCTGCATAAAGAAACACGAGTTCTTTTAGGGGAAACATCCTATCCTCCGAAAAAAATAATTAGTTTTCCGCTAGCAGGCAAATTAGTATGGGATGGGGGTGTTGCCATATATATGCCTCACCCTGTAGACTTGAGCCCACAAAAAAGTCGCTTGGAAAGACGAAGCAAATCGAAGAAGCGACAGCCAACAAAATCCACAAACATGCCTCTAACGCCCCTTTAGATCCGTTTTATCACGATTTTTTGCAGGAGGCCCCGGCTCGGGCAAGGGCACCCAATGCGACAAGATTGTCGCCAAGTACGGACTCTCGCATCTGTCGTCTGGGGACTTGTTGAGGTGAGAATCTTGATGAGCTTTTGGTAGATGTCACTTTTCCTTTAACGGTAAATTCTAAAATTTTGGACTATCTGTCACAATCCCTTTAATGCAGCCTTCTTCAGAGATGAGGTGAAGTCCGGCTCGTCCCGCGGCGCCGAGCTGACCGCCATCATGGAGGCCGGCAAGCTGGTCCCCCTGGTAAATTTCTTCTACTGGCTACTATTAATCTTTATCATTTACAGGAGGTCGTGCTCGACCTGGTGAAGGAGGCGATGCTCAAGAAGGTGGCCGCCGGCTCCAAGGGATTCCTCATCGACGGCTACCCCCGCGAGGTGGCCCAGGGCGACCAGTTTGAGGGCGAGGTACGGTGGAAATTGCAACTTCAAAAAATCTGTTCATAGATTCAACAAGCCCAGCTGGTCATCTTCTTCGACGTCTGCGAAGAGACGCTTGTGAAGCGGCTGCTCCACCGCGCCCAGACCAGGTAGATGAGCTTGCTTGCTGTTTCTCGCTCTCTCCCCCTCTCTCTCGCGCTCTATGTCTCTCTCCATCTCTCGCTCTTTATCTCTGGCTCCCACATGCTCCTTTTTAGTGGCCGTGCCGACGACAACGAGGCGACGATCAAGAAGCGCCTGCACACCTTCATCACGTCGACGGCCCCCGTCGTCGACCACTACGAGAAGAAGGGCAAACTTGTTCGCGTCGGTCTTTTTGCTGGTGTTGAACTTGAAAGGAACGAACATGACCGAGCTATGGATGTTGTTGGCTATGGATTCTTTACGCACTTTGTCGCAACGCAGCGAAAGGCTCGGGTCGCTTGAACGCGTTCAAGGCGTCGTAATTAATAAGCAAAAGCTGGATGCATGTGTAGCGTGTCGCGGCGCGGCACAGTCGATACGCTTTCCATCAGACGAAATCTTCAGAATTATACCTTCTCTGTGCCTTTTAAACTGGTGGTTGGTCCTTTTTGAGGCGGTTAGCCAGGCTAGCAAAGATTCTTGTGGAATAATTTTGTTTATTAGGGCGTAGAAATGGACGTTTTCTAGCGAATTTTCACGAAAGCCCCGTTTTTCTACGATTTCCACACCTCCGGGTCCTGTAAAATTGTTTTTGCTGTTAGCCAAAGATTCATCGAATTTTTTGGATCTTGTTCATTACCGGAGCGGGGAGTGATGGCCCCCGCTAACCAAACCAGTTCTTTGGATATTGGCGTTAACAAATAGTGTGCTTTTTCTGCCTTCCAGATCCCTTTACGCTGCCAAAATCCCCTTAATTTTATGATTTCCAGATCCCGGCCGAGGGCTCCGTCGACTCGATCTTTGCCGAAGTGTGCAAGGCCCTCGACAAGGTGTGCGCCAGCAAATAGGAGCCGATCGGAATTTCCTTGACCTACCGTACCCCTCGCTTCCATGGCCCTTTAGAAAGCATTAATTTCCGCCCGGCGAAGGCACCAACTTCTCGTTTGTGTTTTCCCATTTGCACACAAAACTCATACCAGGACCCCACTCCCCTCCTCCCGACCCTCGAATTTAATCGCAAACCGGTGATTGTATTTTTTTGTGTTGTATCTTATGCTTTTTTGGATGCATAATAAAGAGTTTTATTGGCTGCTGTGTTGGGTACATTTCGATACTACTTGCATGGCGTCATCCATCGGGATCACTGTCCTCCTCGTGCTCGTCGTCACGGTTGACCAGCTCGAAAAACTCGACAAAACTCTCCTCAAGCTTGGTGACGAGCTGCTTCTCGCGGTCCATTGAGGCCTAAAAATAGAAAAATTTAAAAACTAAATTTTTTTTCTTGCCCTGAGCATGACTTCCGCTTCATCAAGCTGTTTGGTGAACTCCTCCATGTCGCGGCGGATCGTCTCGAATTTCTCTTCGATTGGTGCGTCTGGGTCCCAGTTGTCGTGCTCCTCAGTGGTTTCTTGGAGTAGATTATCTTTGGCCAGGATTTGGCGACCTGGAAGAGGGAAATGTAGCGAGAGCGAGAGAAAGTGAGATAGAAAGAGAAAGCGAGAGATATTGAAAGAGAGAAAGAGGGAGAGAGAGAGAGAAAGAGTGAGAGTGAGTGCGAGATACCATATCGCACCCTTCTCAAACAACGACTGCGTAGCCTGTGGATAGTCGCGTAGTGCCTCCCACAAATCCTCCTTCCTTAGAGCGTATAAATTCGTGTAACCGGCCGATCGAACATTTGCCGTCCGCCGATCCCCATTCCGATTTCCCGGAATATTCAGAATTGACAGCTCCCCGAAAACGACGCCCTCGCCGAGACGGACGAAGACCTAACCTTGCAAGATTTCACTTTAGCGCCAGTTTCCGCTTCAGAAGGCTAGCTTGAAAGTGCCATACCTTGGTCCCGTCTTCATTTACTACCTCAACGAATCCCGACTTGACGATGTACATTTCCTGAAACAACATCGTGGTGAAATTTTTTCGAGTTTTCCATACCTTTCCGACCTCTCCCTTTCGACAAATGTAATCACCGGGGCTGTAGACCTAGAAAATGATCTAGTTACCGTATTCTCGCGCTTGGCTACCTGCAACTCGAGTCGTAATATAAACTCGTAAAGGAGTGTTGGATCACAGTCGGCAAAGAGGGGAACGCGTCTGGAATTAAGACGTCTTTCGATTTTTCTCTCTCTCTCTCACTCTCACTTACTCTCACACACCTCAAGGTCTCCATATGAATATGAACAGCCATGTGGCCGTAAAGACGATTGGGCAGGAAGTCAGAGATTGCCTATCGAAATCAGTTAATAGTAAGTAAGTCTCCAGCCATAAAATAGGTGACAAAATGAAACGATGAACAGTACCTTTTCATCTACTCCGATCTGCCCCTGACCCCAGATGTACGTCAAGTAGCGGATGATTTTCTGTTGGAGTTGTTGGGGGACTTGACTGAAAAAGCTTGTGTTGTTAGCCATACCATAGTAATATGGTAGTTAATATCTACAGGGTGTCCCAAAAAAAAGGTCACGCTGGCATTTTGCTATTTTGAATCCGACCGACTTGAAATTTTGCACAGAGGTGCGGAAGGGAATTTAAAATGTTCACAGAAATTTTCAGCCCGATCGGTACAGTAGTGTTCAAGTTATCGCAAAAATACTGTTTTTCCCACACTTTAGCTTTATTTTTTCGGCTATCTTTTTGACTTTGCATCAATTAACATAAATTTCCGGCTCTAAATCCCTTATTCTTCTTAACGTCGGCGTCGTTAGCCCTTGTTAAAAAATACCTAAATAGCCTATTTTCGATCCGAATTTTGTGAAATAAAAAATTCCTAGGATAAAAAAGGGTCGGCGCTTCATTTTCTCCATACATTCCAGGGCTCAATTCCGGCGGAATCCAGGTGAAAAACGTAAAATAAAGTTTATTTTTGCTATAACTCGAAAACTAATGTACCGATCGGGCTGAAAGTTTCTGTGAACATTTTGAATTCCCTTTCGCACCTCTGTGCAAAATTTCAAGTCGGTCGGATTTAAAATAGCAAAATGCCAGCGTGACCTTTTTTATTGGGACACCCTGTATATAGCTTTTACATGTAGTTTGTGAAGAGCTCAATCGAGCTACAAGACGCCCATATAAATGTCACTTACTGTCGCAACATGTAAGCCCGCGTCCCGTCGAAAATCTCCTCGTAATCCGTGCGCTTTAGGTTCATCGTCTAAAGTATCGTATCATTAAATTAAGTACGGTAATGCTATAAAAGTGAAGCTTCCGTCGTACCTGCACCATGTTGCCGACATCACCAACAATTACGGCGAAAATTACAAGCCCAAGTAGCGTGACGATAATCTCGAAAATGTTTTGGAAGGAGCGCTGGGGTGAGGGCTAAACAAATTGGGTATTTAACCGCCAGAAATTCGGTAAAATTTGTATAGAAAATCACCTGCTCCCCAAGCGTAACGAGCGTCAACGCCGACCAGTAGAAGCTCAACGAGTACTGTTTGGAAAGTTGGAAGGCGTGGCGGTATGTTCTACAATATCTCTACTTTTTCAATCTGCAAAATTGCGAAAAGCTACTCCGTTGATGACTAGGTCTCGACAGCTACGCCAGGCGCCAAATCACGCAGCGTGCTCGATTACCGTAACGTAGCGTAGCGTAACGTTATTAGGTACTATGACGTTCCTTTTACTACGTAAATTTGAACCGACCCGTATCTGTCGAGACCTAGAAACCGGAGGGGGTCAAATTTGCACTTTCTAGCCTTTCAATCCATACCTCTCTGCCCAGTGGTCCCTGTACTTCTCGCATTCCTTCGTGAAATTACGGCGATCCTCGTAGTCGCTCAACGGTCTCTCCGTGAAGTGGCAAGTGTCGTTTCTGAAAAGGGCGATAAAACATACTATTTTTCAATTAACGGGCCTTGAATACCCTTAAAACGTGGAAAAGGATACCTCTGACATTCTACAAATATTGGATCTGGCACCTTGTCATACGAAAAGATCCAAGCATCGATGTCCGCTTCTAAAGAATAAATAAACTTATATTACGAATCTTTACTAACTATCAATCCCAAATATCGTGCTCAAGAAGAAGTACAGGCTCGCATTCCAATGGAATATGACAAAACACAAAAATACGAGCTTGAAAAGTCGAAATAAATTCGGCATCGTCGTCCGAATTTCCGTTAATGTATAGAATTCCATGACGCGATACACCTAAAAGGAGATTTCAAATGATATAGATGATACCTTTAATAATCGATTAACTCTAACAATGCTCAACATCTTGGAATGTAATAGAAAAATATCCGTTGGGAGTAATGCGGCGATATCCAGGTAAAATTGGCGGCCGGAGACTCGATGGACGAGCAATTTCCAGACCCCGTGTTCTCTGATACCGTCTTGGATGTATTCTAAAACACGGGAAAATTACAGTAAACCTAGCTCTACGTTTTATCGGCTCAAACGTAATTTATTATAACTCAAAACCCACGTTTTCGGGTCAACAGCAAAAGATCGATTAGGAAGAGGGCGTCAAAAACGATATTGCCGTATGTCCAGTTTTCGAAATGGCTCGCCGCCTGGCAAATAAGGTAGAAAATAGTGGAATTAGGACAGACAGTGTATAAATATATTTTGACTCAATTTATAAAATTGCGTTTTTCCGCCGATAAGATCAAAACTTGTAAAAAAGTTTTAAAAACGTTTAGCAGTGTTTTTTTAAACTATTCTTGGCCAAAATGGGTTTATTCTACCTCATTTATAGCTAGAAAAACGTGTAAACTACGCTTTTGCACCCACCATAACCTCAAACGTCATCACTGCAATCGTCAACAAATTGTAAAAACACCCCAAGAAAACCAGCAGCGACCAATAATAATAAAATGGGCTCGTTTCGTCGTACGACCAGAAGACGACACGTCTGATAGCACGATTTTGATGTATCCATGTTCGCACGCTCTTACCTTAAAATATTCTGTTTTGGTGGCGGAATCGCCTCATCGATCGAGATGTCGAAGACCCGACGTGTGTTCAGGTCATCCGCTTCGTGGTCGTGCCGCTGCTTCTCGTGGATTAGCCACTTTTTCGCGCCCTTATTGAATTATTATAACTTTAGTTTTTACACTGGTGTAATGGTTTTAAGGGGATTACAGTATTGAAGAGGAACGGAAAACCCCTAGAACGTTTCAAAGTCTAGAAAATTACAAAATACCGCTCGTCAGCTTGCGCATCTTTGATTGCTGTGGTTTCATATTACAAGACGGCAACGTAATAGTGAATACTATAAGAGATCAATAAATATCAGAATTTAAAAGGTGTTTAATGGCCCAGTCGATAATCCTCGTCTTGGGGCAGGTGCCCCAGAATGGCCACCGGAAACGGGGCCATTAGCGCTCCAGGATGATTTCCAATTCCACGGCATCGCCCTCGACCATATTTTCGGAAAAGGGACGCGTGCCAAGAAGAGGCAAATAAAATGTAACTTTCTAAGAAAAACGATTCAATTATACAACCCAAAAAAAACCTGAAAACCCAAAAATTTTCGATTGATTTGTGCTTTCTTGGAATTGGATGAAACATACCAGCAATTTTGCATTTCCGCGGCAATTTTGGAGAAATTTTCGTCAAAAAATCGTTCATGAGCTTGTGCTGCGTAAAAACGCTTGCAAAGAAGTGAATTAAAGTTCTAAACGTGGAGGACTAGAGCCAAACGTAACAAAACGCAGGCGCTCAAAGAGGGTATGCTACCCTAACTTTACATAAACTTTATTCAGTACCATTTTTCTTCACTTCCTTGAAAGGAAAGTAGATGAATCCTCTGGTCAATTCGTAGTCACACTTCCCATCTTTACAGATCCCGACGGCGGCCGTGTTGATGACTTGACAATCATGAGACTTTGTACAAGTCGTGTTCAAGCCCTGCAAGTTTTTCATATTTTTGAGCTTTTCCAAAAAACTTGAAGCGTATCTAGATCTTTCTAGGTTTTCAAGCGGATCTATCAAGGTTATGACCTACCTCATACTCCGGAAAAGCCGCTGCGACCAAGATATAAGCGAGAAATACAAGAACTAGCCGTGACATAATAGGGATTCGAGAAGTTTCAAGCGGCAACGGCTGCGAGAAGTGAAAATCGGAGGCTTGCGATCGCTTATACATTCGCGATCCGCTTCCATTGCTATGCTGACTCAATCGGCAGGCAAAATATTGTACAAAAAAACCCAATTTGTTTTTTTCAAAACAAACGTCGATCGATTTGGCTCGAAAGTTTGTAACGCAGCGCTACTAATTAGGGGCTTACAAGGTCCGCAGATCAAATTATGTTGAAAACGACCAATTTGTTTTCACGCTATCGCTAACTGTAAAGTGTTTTTACTCAACTTGGAGTTTCGATTCGGGACCAAGTGCAGCTTGTGCAGAATTTTTCGCTGATTCCGAATATGTCTTCCAAATTTGCTACGGACTGTTATTTAAAAAATCATTTTTGGTAACAATTAGGCCGAAAAATGCCAAAAATTCAGACGCTGGGCCACTATTCCTTGTTTGGGGCTATTCTTCCCAGGGGCCCTTAAGTACCCTCTGACAGCACCCTACCCAGTTGGCACCATGGTGCATTGGCAAAGTACTCGCTTGCCAAGCGCAGGGCGGCGGTTCGAACCCCCGCCCTGCATCATTTGTTTTGCTTTTTGCATAAAAATCTCATTTTTTTTCTAAAATGCTTGTTTTGAGCTGTAGGATGCTTGTCGAGCCAACGTCTAGTCAATTTTGACGTTGAAATTAATGAAGAAAATCGAAAACTATAACGATACCTTCATTTTGGTGAAGACTAGGGTCATAATTGCCGTATAACTTTCAGAATGACGATCCGTAGCAAATTTGGAAAACATATTCGGAATCAGCGAAAAATTCTGTACAAGATGCACTTGGTCCCGAATCGAAACTCCAAGTTGAGTAAAAACACTTTACAGTAAGCTATCGTTTACCTCGTAAAAGACTTGCTTTGTAACGTAAAGCTACTCATTACGAGCTCGCATACTTTTTCAATCGATTTTGCAGTCGCTTTAGACACTTTAGCCTCCGAGTTTTCAAAGTTTGATCTTATTATTTTTTCGTCTGAACGATTTGAAAAACGTGGCGCCTTGTTTTGGTTATTTTCAGGCTTTCCGTGGCTGCTCTTTTTCTCTTTGCTCTGGGAACGCGCCTCTCGGCCAGCTGGAAATAGGCTCCCGCCCTTTTGAACTTTTCCCTCGCGTAAACCACCTTTTCTTCCTGTTTTCAACTATAAAACACTAAGATTATGTAGCTTTTCCATAGATGGCCGCCGGATACGACTCATTCGACGATGATGACCCGGCTCCAGCGGTGAAAGCAGGCCAAGGTAATAAAATCTCGGTGCTAAAGTTTGTTTTTAGCGAAAACGCCCGTCAAAGACCCCAATGCCTTCGACAAAGAAGCCGTGACCTTGGTCAAGCAGGAAACAGGTACGAAAATCTGTCTTTGCAAACTATTTTTAGTGAAAACGGTCGCGCCAGACTACGATTCTTTCGATGACGAGCCTTTGGACATGCCGCGGAAAGAAGAAGGTATCGAAAACTGCCTAAACTTATTTATTTTTCGCAGCATTGAACCCGGACGAATATGATTCGTTCGACGATGAGCCGAGCGGAAGCGCGCCATTGCCTGGTTTGTTAGAGTAGGCGTGGCATTATTGGTTTTTTTTTAGAAACGCCGCCTCCAAAGGGCGCTGCAAACGTTTCACCGGCTACAATAAAGCCTAAAGAAGCTACGGCAAACGAGAAGCCGACGGTATCAGAAAGTCGAAAACGAAATTATTTTCTTTAGAATGATCCACTACTCGACAAGGCATTGAAGGCGCTGCACAAACATTTCGGCCACCGTCAATTCCGCCCATTTCAATGGGACATCGTGCGGAATTCGCTGCAGGGCAAGGATCAGATTGTCGTGATGAGTACTGGTAAGTTTTTGATGATTTTTTGGCTTTTGGAAGTCCAAAAGTAAAGAATTTCTTGTAACTTTGTCTCTTTTAGGCTACGGCAAGTCGGTCTGCTTCCAATTGAGGGGGCTAATCAAGGAGGATCTGACCATCGTCGTCTCGCCGCTCATTTCGTTGATGGAGGACCAAATTTCGAATCTACGGTGAGCAGATTATCGCATTTTGCTTGATACCAGCTTGTTTAGGTCTAACAACATCGAGGCCGCCACGCTAAACAGCCAAACTACACCCGCGGAACGCGATGGAATCCTGGAAAAGGCTACAAGCGGCTCGCTGAGGTGATTTTTGGCTAAATATCAACCTGATAGGCTTTAGGTTCCTCTACCTGACCCCAGAATACTGTCAAGTCGCTAACAGCACTTTTTCGCGGATCAAGAAACGTAAGGATTGGATTTTATTGTACTTTACTTTTTGCTTTCAGGCGTCGGCCAAATCGCCATCGACGAGGCGCACTGCATTTCTCAATGGGGCCACGATTTCCGGAGTGATTATAAGAAGCTTTACGTCGTAGGTGACTTCCCAATTCTTATCGTTTGTGCTTTTCAGCTTCGCCAAGAATTCCCCGGCGTTCCGGTGATGGCGGTGACGGGCACGGCGACGCCGGAAGTGTGCGAGGACATTCAGAAAAATCTGCGTATCACGAATGCCATCACCACAAAGACCGGATTTGATCGGTATTTTGGACCTTCCATCTTCGACTAGAATTTTTTCAGCAAAAACCTCTACCTGATCGTGAAGCCGCGCAGCACGCTTGCAATCGACATGGGCGGCCTGTTGCAGGACAGCGAGCGGATTGGCCCCAATTTCGGTGGCCCGACGATCATTTATTGTCCGACGAAGAAGGAGGTCGACGAGATGTATGCGTATTTGCGAGGTGATGTCATTGACGCTACTAAATTATTTGTTTTTAGGCAAAGGCGTTAGTTGCGACAGCTACCACGCCGGGATGAGCGACGCGAATCGGAAGAAGGCGCATCAGGCGTTTATTCACGACAAGGTGGTTTTGCTGCCTGATCATTATTTCGCGTTTTTAGGTATCTACCGTGGTGGCGACGATCGCATTTGGAATGGGAATCGATAAGCCAGACGTGCGCACCGTCATCCATTACGGAGGTATGACCGAGCGCCCTTTTTACTGCGCTCTTTTGCAATATCGGGGGGACCAACTGTTTTTCTAAGGATCCATTTGTTCTAATATAAATCTGGAAAGTGTTCCTAAATCTTTTTATTATTGTAGACCTAAAATCTTTGCAAATTTTCGTTAAAAATACAAAAATTGAGATTTTTGCCAAAAAGTTAAACAGATTTAGATAGTGTGTATAGTTGAATACTTATTATAAACGTAAAAAACTTTACAAATGTTCATTTGAAATACCAAAAATAACGGTTTTTGGACAAGCATGGCAGATTTGGACCAAAATGTCGATTATAAAAGATTACCTTTTTTTTATTGTTTTTCCGCTAGCTACCGTTTGCTAAAAACAGTATTCAGATACGTACTATTACATTATTAGACATTTCTCGGATTTCAAAATTGGGTCCCCCGATAATGCGAAAGAACCTGCTACGAAAATCTCCAATTTAGCGCCGAAAAACATGGACTCCTACTATCAAGAAATCGGACGCGCTGGCCGTGACGGTCAACCAGCAAAGTGCATCACCTTCTATCGAGACGGTGATTTTGCGAAATATCGGTAAAATATTACTGGTTTTCTGGAAACCCGATTCAGCTTCATCCAGGCGCAAAAGACGCAAAACCCGACGTTCGCCCAGCACTGCGAGGACCTCGTGGAGAAGATGAAGGATCTGCTGAACACGAGCGAGTGCAGGAGAAGGTGCGCCAGGTTCTGGAGGCCAAAATTTCGTATTTAGAATGGTGCTCCGCCACTACGACCCGCGCTTCGACTTCGCCGAAAAGGTATCGACCGGGCTGTTGCGACAACTGCGACACTTACATCCGGAAGCGGGAGACGGGCGCGGCGGTCGAGGTGGAAGTTGGCGCGGAGGTGAGACTGTTTTTGCAGGTCAGTTTGGAGCCTGATCTGCTTCATAATTTTGTCGTTGGCCTTATCTGGAGTTGTTTTGGAGTGCTTCTCGGCGACGTCTTCGAGAGGCCAAAGGGCAACACCGGGATTATCGACTTTATTCGGGAAAGGTGAGAAAGTTCATTTAATTTTAATTTTCATTTGATATTCAGCCCAGAGCCACCTATCCGCCGGCCTTTTTGAGGCGCTCTTCGGCGCCAGAAAGCGAAAAAACGACGAGGTGGTGGAAAGGTAGATAATTTTTAGTTTGTAGAAGTTCTTCCGTTTTTCAGCCCTCAGCACCCAGCTTCGCCTGATGAACTACACGCAAACCGGAGACGCGCCACGGCGCCCTTATGCCGATATCGTTTTTGGTGGTGACGCCGCAGGGCGGGGTGGTATCAAGCGGACAATAAGGTGGATTTTACAATATGAACGAGATTTACCGGTTTTTAGTCGCTCAAAGTGCCGGCCACCGAGGTGCTGCTGGCCGGCGTTCGCGGAGCTGCACTTTCGGGAGGTATGAAACGAGGCGCTACTCAAGCGGCCAAGCCGACAAATATGGGTTCATCGGATGAGAAAAAGTTTGTATTTTGTAGGGTTAAATTTTCACATTTCAGAATCCTCGGCTCCTACACGCCTTCGCGTCTAGGAGTTTACTTAAGAAGTGGACACAGACTCGGCTGTCGAAGCCGGAAAAATGGAACTGGTAAGGTCCCGTTTTTCCTCTATCCTCTTCGTGCTCTTCTAGATGAAGAAGCTCCGCGCCGCGTTGGAGACGAAACGCGTCGAGCTCGGCGGTCAATGCAATTTGCCGCCTTTCCAGGTTTGAACGCATTGTTTCATAAGATCAATTTTTTTAGATTTACAGCCAACAACGTGCTGGACCAGTTGGTAACGGAGATTCGGCCGAACAGGTGGGAAGTATAAACTTTTTTGCTAAAGTAATTTTTTGCGCTGCCGCCCTGGAGCCGATCACCGATTGGCCGAACGCGAAGAAGACGCGCTTCGGGCTCGGCTTCATCGACGTCCATCAAGGACGTGTGTCGTCTCCTACGGTCTCGACATGAATGCCAAGGTTAGCGGCCTGAATTTGGTGAGTTTTTCGTGTGTGAAGCAGCTTCACATCTCTTGCCTCATTTTTTGCCATAAAAACTTGTAAATCTTGCGTTTAGCTAACACCATCTCAACAATCGGCCGTTTCACAGTGTGCTCAAGCCGTCATAAGCCGCCGATCTACACGATGCACCTCCATTCCGGCGCAACGATGGTGGGTTTTTGTTTTTAGTCTTGAAATTCGGACACAAACGTAGCATTTATTTCATGGCTCCTTGGATTTTGAAAATCTAAATGAAGGTTTTTGGAAAAAACCGGAATTTGTTAATGTCGAAATTTTGCGATTTGAAAATCCCTATCTTTTTCCGTTTAGTTTTTCGTCCGTAGAAATCATGGTTTGTTCTTGTCGTTGAGTTTGTTCTTTTTAATCAAAATGTTGACATTCAAATCGGCAAGCGCAGATTCATTGCCGTTATCCCTCCTTTTCAGAAAGATCTGGCCCATACGCGCGGGCTGAGCGAGGGTACGGTAGCCACCTACCTGTCCGAGGCGCTACGTGAAGGCCTACCCGTCCACCAAAGCCGCTTGGGCTCACCGAAGAGAAACGGACAGCCCTTCTTGCTGCAATTGACGACAATGGAAGAGGTATTCGTCCTGGCTAGACTATGCTTTACCGCCGCCCCGCTCGCGTCCTCCACTAGCCGGAAGTAGCGGAAATTTTCGACATTACGGCTATTTTATCGAAATTTGGGCTACGCGAATCGATAGCGCATCAATAAACACATAATGCTTTGTAATTACAGCCAAAATAATGTCATGTGAAAAAATTATGGCAAAAACCTTTAGGATCTTACGGCTCGAGGCTTACCGCATTCCTGTTTTCCTTATATATTTATTTACAGAGATATCTTCCGGATGAAGCCGTTGTTTGAAAAGCTGCCCGAGGGCACAGTGGACTACAACGTTCTGAAGGTATCATTTTGCCGGTAGATCCTATTAGTTCCATTTTTCAGATGCTGCTTCGAATTCTCGAATTCGAGTTTTGGCACCACCAGAATGACGGTGAAAAATCACCGACGTCAGGAGTAGCTTCTGGAGAGGTAGCCAAATTTGCCCAGTTAATTTCATATTATTTTTAGACTTCCGAGCCCGCTGTCCCGGCCTGGATGACGGCGCTATCCTCACAGCCCCGGTCGAAAAATCCAAACAATAAAATTATTTTTGCTATACATTTTACTCAAGTTTGTTTGTAGCTTTTCGATTACAGGTTGTGATCTCGGTTTTCAGTTGTTTTC